AGTTTGTCAAGCAAGACTATAAGAAAAACCTACTTATGAGAGCCGTATCAAAAGACCAACCAATAGAAAAAACTTTAAAAGAATTTAATATGAAAGACTTGGTTTTTGCTCTTTGTCAGTCCTGGAATGCGTTTCCGTCATCAACTATTAAATCGTCTTGGAAAAAGTTGTGGCCAGATATAGTCACCACTCTTAGCAACGTTTCACAAATCAGTGTTACTTCGGTAGTTATAGAACAAGTCGCTACTGAAACACAGATAAGTCCGGAAGATTTGGAAATCTGGTGCCGTGGAATGGATAAAGAGGAAAATGCTTTTCATGAAATGTCTGACGAAGAGATTATAAAAGAGGTTTCTAATTATACAACAAACAATCAGGAAAATAACGGCGACGTGATTGCAACTGCTTCGCAAGTCACAGCACAAGACGCAATTAACGCCTTTGAGCTAGGTTTACAATGGGCTGAAGAGAATGGTACATCCTACAACGAACTTTTACTTTTGAGAAGACTGAGGGAACCTTAAACAAACAAAAAATTGATGAATATTTCCAAGCTTCATGATTTGATAAATTCATTAATAATTTTGATTAATAATTCTTGATTATTTTGGTACATATGTACATATGTACATTTATGCTTAATTTTATAATAAAACGTAAGCTCTCTATTGTTACTTAATTTACTAAATTCGACTTACATAAACTATGTATGATTTGTACTTCAAAGTACATACATATACATAACATATATAATCTTACCATTGGATATGTAATTTGTCGGATTACAAGGTACTCTTGTGTAAAAAATTCCGGACTATAGGGGGTCTTAAGCAGTGCTCTATAATCCAACAAATTCGATAGTCCGACACTGCCCTGCATAATGTTTGTCGGATTACCGGAGGTCCACTGTATATGCATTTGCATATTAAGCCTATTTTCACTGGCTGTTGCTTATTTCAACAAACATCTAAAGACGTTGCATATTTTTGCTATAATTACATGTTACCTCGATAATAAATTAAATTTTACGTTGCAGCTAGACAAAGTTACTGATCTCACGCTTTTTCGCCAGACCATAAGGTTTTCAATAAAAATTTTGGTAGATGAGACGTTCGAGTGAATTCCCGACTACCTTTCATATGAGAATATGCTTCCAATGAACGTCCAGCCTAAGCAGTCAAATTGAGAGCTTTATCAATGGTACTATCACCCAGATTTAAATACTGTCCAGTCAACTCCGTGGATGTGGAGTAAATTCGAAGTACCTACCTACTTCCTACTTTCCCAAAATCGTTTAAATTTTTTCCTGACCTTATTTGAAGTGGCAATACACAATAAATTGTACACTAACATTGCTACTTTTTCTCGTCTACAAGATGGTTTAATTAGAATTCCAATTTGATGTTTTCAATTCCAAAAATGTATATCATGCATTGCCATTGCCGAACTTCTGTTATTTCAAAAGAAGCAGAATTTCCTAAGTAGGCCTTGAAATTATCATATAGTCAATTTGTCATTTATCCCAAAATCACTTTTACTTTTTCCCGACTTTACTTGAAATGAGGTTCCAAAATAAATTACATGTCAACGTTGCCACTTTTTCTCCTCTACAAGATGGCATAATTAGAATCTCATTATGACGTTTCGTCTGGCCCTTCTCCTTCTTACTTATGGACGCCGTATTGAATTTTTGCGCAGATGAATATAGTTTTTAATGCTGATTTCAAAAATGTATGGGTTGTCCAAAACGGACGCAGGAAAGTAAACGCATATTAAAACAAGAAAGATTGATAATCAAATCAAGTTGGGTACTTTATTTTGAAGGTTTATTTATACCATTTATGTATGAAAAATAATATCGCTCAAATGGTCACCACGACTGGATTTACAGACGTCCACGCGATGGACGAAATTTTCAATGACATTTTGCAACATGGTCGGTTCTATGGCATTTATCTCGGCAATGATGTTGTTTTTGAGTTCTTGGAGGGTGGCTGGTTTGTTGACGCAGACTTTGCTTTCCAAATATCCCCATAAAAAGAAGTCCAAGGGAGTCAAATCGCACGATCTTGGTGGCCATGGCACATTTCCTCTGCGCGAAATCACGCGATCACCGAAGAAGGACTGCAATCGATGGATATTGACGTTGGTTGTGTGGCATGTTGCACCGTCTTGTTGGAAATAAACATCGTCCATATCCATTCCTTCAAGTTGCTATCATCACGTGATATCGCTCAGAATTGACGGTAACGGCATCCCCGGCCGCATTTTCGAAAAAGTAAGGTCCGATGATGCCTTTTGACAACAATGCACACCACACAGTCACTTTTTGAGGATGCATCGGCTGCTCTTGATACTCACGGGGATTTTCGTTCGCCCAGATGTGGCAGTTTTGCTTGTTTACCGTCCCATTCAAAGTGAAATGCGCTTCGTCGCTGAACATGATTTTTGATGAAAAATTGGCATCAAATTTGGCGGTGTTCAAGGAGCCAATCTGAGAACGTTCGGCGCGAAAAATGGTCGGCCCGACGCAGCTTTTGCGTCAATTGGATCTTGTAGGCGTGTACATTCAAATCCTTGTGGAGAATGCGGAGCAAACTGGTTCTCGAAATGCCCAATTCTTGGGATCGACGCGTTGTTGATTGTTTCGGATCGTCTCTCACACTCTCCTTCACAACAGCAATATTTTCCGGTGTGCGAACGCTCCTTGGCCGGCCACAGCCTGGCAGATTTGCCACAGAACCTGTTGCCTCGAATTTACGCACCAGACGACCGATGGTTGTTTCGTTTGGGGGTTGTTGCGACCGAAATGTTCACGAAGCGCGAGAAACGTGTTTTTTATTTTTGCACCATTTTTGTAGTGCTCTTGAATAACTTTAATGCGGTCTTCAATCGAATACGCCTCCATAGCGATCAATGGTAAACATTCAACCACATTCAACTAACAAAATGACATGTCGGTGACAGAAAACAAAGATGGCGTCGATGTCAAATTGACGTTTACTTTCCTGCGTCCGTATTGGACAACCCTATAATATGTCACACATTGACATTACCAAACCCTAGTTATTCCAAGAAAAAAAAAGAACAGAAGTTCCTAGGTAGGCCTTGAAATTATCAGATATCATTTGTTTCGTATACCAGACCATACCTCACCTCTTACTAAACGTAACAACAGAGTTTGGTCGACTGAGAAGAAGAGAAATAAATCGAGCAGTGAGCAATCTACAGGGAAGAGTCAGGCTTTGCCTACAAAATAACGGACAACATTTTGAACATCTGATATGATCGAGCAAATCCCAGCTGCGTCTGTGGTCTCGTCACTCGGGTTGCTAGGCAACGAGGTGCATCTATCTCTCTACATTACGACGTCAGTGTTATATGGAATTCTATGTATGTCTTGACTTCCGTATTGTGTTGATTTTTACTTTTGCGTATATTTTCGTTTCATGTGTTTGTTTTCTTTTCTCCTTAATGTGTACTTATCAAATTTTCTTCTTTTTTCCTTCGTTCATTTACCTTCGGTTCGGTAATACATTTGGCATATTTTTTCTTTCTTGTTTCAATTGTTCTGTAATTGGAACTGTCTTCTGTTGGGTAATAAATAATTTGTTTTGTTTATTTTCATTCATTTCGTTGAGTAACATGAGAGAAATATGTGCTTAAAATTCATTTTTAAGCTCAAATTGCTTGTTTGACAAATCTTCGGTGTATTTGCCCTCCGCCGAAAAAGTGCGATCCACAACTTTATGAAAACAAGTTGTTCTTAAAACTTTATGGGCGAAAAAAACAATTTTATGTAATTTACTTAGAAACATTGTTCAAACATATTTGCACCGGCAAAACCTCCTCATTCATATTTAGGGCATAAAAGATAAAACAAGCATGATTATGAATAAAATTTAAAAATGTCTGTCACGAAGTCTTCGCTGTATCCATTAGCAAGGAGAAAGACCTCATGATGCTTGGGGCAAAGTAACGCAACGTCCAATTGATGATTACTCCTAAAGCTATCCAAATGAAGCCCAGTCGAAAACCTACCATTATTAAAATTACCACAATTGCACAAAGGTCACAAATATATCCATATTATAATCAACTATATCCACTCAATATACCGTTTACCACAATCATACAAAAAGGTCGAGTATCTAATAGGTATTACCTATATGATATACCGACATACACGCCGATTCGTAATAGACTGATTGTCGTATAGGAAGCGTAGCGGTACGTGATTTCCGGCGAATTGGATCTTCTATTGTTTCATTAAAACAAAAAAGAATCGTAACAATGGGACATCGGCCAGTTTTACTACAATTAGGTGGGCATAGGGATTTAGTTCTCGGTAACTAAGGTTACATACGTAAATGCTTTATTCTAAAAACTATTGGAAAAACTGACCAAAACTAATAAGAAAGACATACTGGGAACGTTCAGATAACACAAAGCGGTCTAGCGGTGCAACACTTTATGATGCATGAGACCACCAGGTGTTGTATGCGTACTAGAAAAGGAAAGCACATTGGTAAAATTAAATTCCCAAAATAGGGCCCAGTTGATAATAAAAAAATACGAAGACTCACTCGAAGTACCTACGTTTTAAAACGCACAACGTTTACTTTTGCAATGTTAATCATACTCGAACGTCAATAAATATTAGTTGGAAACCAATATTAAAGTAATTTCCAAAAACGTTACATAATATTGATTTGAAAAATATGTGTCACAAGCGGACCCTTAACAAAAAATTGTAAATCATCATTCAAGATTTTTATTCCTGCGCAAAAATACAGAATATAGGTATTTTGAACCAGTTTTGAATTGATTAGCAGCAGAACTCATAGGCGTACGCTTCTCTTTCTCCTCTCTGCCTTTTTCTTCTTACTCCAAAAGGCATCATTGGTTTTAAGCATCTAGAGGGGGACTTCATTTCTTTTACTAATTTTCCTCATTATCCCCTTACTATATCAGGGACGTTCGAGACTGCAAGTCTCTATTTTTTATAAAAAAGAGTAAACCGTACGCCAAGTTCATGCAAAAAATGACGGCGGCTACCTTAAGGCGAGATTGCTTCTACTAAAAAGAGACTTTTATTTTGAGGATTTTTTCGTTCCGAGTTGAATCTACCCTCAAAGCTTTCCGACAACGTTCTGTAACATAATCAATGGTAACACCCTGTATATGGTTCATCTTAAAACATAGAAGATGGCGGACTCCTTGTTGGCCATACTAGTTGGTGTCAACGATGTTATGGTATGTACATTCTCGAGCTCCACTTTCTCACGTCAACTGTCAAAATCGCACCTCAAAAATATTGACATGTTTTTGACAGTTGTGTTTGGCAGCCGTTTGACATGCTAGATATGTGTTTGTAAAAGCAGTCGCTACTAATTTTCATTTTCAGAAAAATGAATAATGAAGATGCAGATTTGGAAATAGACAAAATATGCCGCTGTTGCATGTTTCAAAATGAGAGTATGCACAACATATTTGAAAGCAAAAATCCGGCTAATCATGGGGCAGTTCTATTATCTGAAATGCTGGTGGCTTGTGCCTCAGTTGAGGTAACAGATAAATAGATATTTATGTTTCTCCTAGGTGACCTATCTAGATAATTTCCAAATGGCTTATCACACTAATTATAAATCATTTAAAATATAGAGATTTAAGTAATTACTGAGTTGATTTCTATGTGTTTATGTTACACCAGATTATAAGCTTGATATTTGCCTTTTATGTTTTATATTCGAACCATTTGATTTAGAGGAAATGTTGCTTATGGCTATTTTATATATAATATGTTACCCAGTAAAGTTCTTATGAGTTGTTGCATATGCAGAACTTATTTGGAATATTCTTGAGGATTTCAAAACATCTATTATTAAGCAGTTAGCTAATTTGATGATATAAAGCTTTAATTCCTTGTTTTGCCTTATGTGCACTTGATAAGTTAAAGTCCAATCAGTTTTAGACTTAATATAACCTATTTTTTAAGGTTAAAATGGATGATTCCCTACCAAAAAACCTGTGTGAAGTATGTACAGACAAGCTCAACACTTGCTATGAATTCAGAACACAATGTCAAAAATCCGACTCCAGGCTGAGAAAACTGACCACCTCAGAATCAAAAACATCCACTAAGCAAGAAAACATTGTAGTACATCCTGATGTACCTGACGACTTATTTGATGAAGAGGATGAAATTCCCCTTATCCATCGGAGAGAAAAAAGGAAAAAAGATGACAAGAAGGATAAAAAGGAAGATTTGATAGAATGTAATGTGTGCCATAAGGTACTGTACTCAAAGAAAGGCCTGAAGATTCACATGAAACAACATGCTAGTGATAAGGTTAAGAGTTGCCTATTTTGTGATGCAAAGTACACTCGTACCAATCATTTGCTGAAGCACATTAGCACTCACGATAAGCTTGGTGTTAGACATCCATGTGAGCAGTGTGAGAAAACTTTTGATGCTGCACAGGAGCTTTATCAGCATTCTAAGGAACATGACGAGGTATCTATTTTTTTTCTGACCATGATCCGTACAAGTTTAGTATTTTAAGGCACCCCAGTACCCTTTGCAACCTTAGTATTGTAGCAAAATGTTCTATTCTAGTCAGGCAAGAAATGTGATTTCAGTTCCCTTTCTTCTGCTTCCTTTAGTAAGCAAAAGAGGGGAATTGTGAAGTTCCAAACATTGGCTGTGTTGTGGCTTCCATGCTGTGGTGGGGTATGCGGAATTTTGATTTTAAACATGGCTTTAACCTTTCAAGGATAGATCATCCCTCAAACTACTTCATAATCGTTTCTAAAAATTCGCATCCTAGGAATGTTTCAACAATGTAAAAGAAAATTGCATAACCTGCTTGAATAGTTCAAGCGGTAGCAATGCTGACATCTAAAGGTGATCATTGACAGGTATATAGTTGTGGTGGTAGTAGTGGTTGACATCACTATGTATGCTTATTTTCATGCTGGCACAACTTTGACTTGGATTCGGTATCTTCTGATGGATTATGTTAATTGTATATTATGATCTTTTGTAGAGGTGTTAAAACAAATTAAACATTCTCGCAATATGTATCACCAATAGAACAGGAACAAATGGCAATATTCATTTAACAATTTAAGATGTCCCCATGTCTCTAGTTGAGATTATTGGCACTAATCATCCCTAGATCTGACATCACTGTTGACAGCTTGAATTTTGAATTCAACATATTTTTTCCCAAAAACTTTTTTTGATAAAAATGAATAGTGATTCTCTTCATTAGGTAAACAATGGCAGAGATTTTAGGTATGGATGATATAATATCTTATATTATGATTTTTTATAAATTCAGCTATTCAGTTGGTGATTATTATGAAAGAAATGTGATGTGTGTTTCAGTAATTTGTTAGTCAATGGATTCTGTATTTAGTACAATAATTGATCAACATATTCTACCAGAAGATACCCAATTCAGTTAGAAATATGTACCAAGACACAGCCAATCACTTATCCTCAACTATATACATATCAGTTATTGTATTTCCTGTTCTGTTGTTGAGAAATTCTGAAATTACAAGGTCTAGGGATTAATTAAGAGGGAGGTTAAGGGATGATTTTTCTTCAGAATCTGGATGTCATGTTTAATAATAAACAATTTTTGTTCAAAGGAGTAAGTTTTTTGGAATTTGTTTGTGAGCATCCTAATATAGTATAGGGTTTGGCATCTTCAGGAAGAATATGTTAATCGGTTAGTACAATCAAGTGATTTATTACGGTGTGATAAGGTTGCAGATGAGAGGATCATAAAACAGGAAGAGACTGACATCCCAACAGAAGTAAAGACAGAACAAATTGAAAATGGTGAGGAACAGATCAGAGAACTGCTGAATGAGTCTGCACCTGACTCTGATAAGATGGTAGTTGCAGAACAGTTTGATGATGATGTCATGAATGGCAATGATTTTCCATTCAGCGATGATGGTGATGACAGAGGAGATGAGAGTGATGATGACTTTTTATTGGACAAGCCCAAGGCTGGGCCTAAGGCTAAGAGTACCGGTAAGTGGTTTTGCTTGATCTCGGGGCATTGTTTTGTGGGGTTAAACAAAATCCAACTCTTATCACAACAATACAGATTTGAAATTATCCCATTATTAATAATATCTTTCACATTTTAGAGAAAAAAGGTAAGAAAGGAAAGAGGAAAAAATCAGATGATGACAAAGCATTGTTTGAATGCAAGGAATGTAACAAATTTATGACTACATATTTAGGATTGAGAGTACACATGAGAAGGCACACTGGTTCAGATTTATCAATGTGCAAGGTGAGCATGAAAGAGAAAATAAGTGTTGATATGATTACTCATACATTATTTTTAGTTGTGTAACAAAACATTTATAAGAAGGAGTCATCTCATAAGGCACATGAAATCTCATGGAATTGAAGAGGCTGATATTGAGAAACACATTCAAGCTGCTTTTGAGGGCAAAGAAAAAAGGGTGAGTTATCATAAAACTCTGAAGATTAGAACGATTAAGTCTTGAGGCTCCGTTTTTCAAAATGTTTATAGTTATAAAAACTGAGCTGGCAGATTTGAATATTAGCAACATTTGGGTTTTTGTGTATCATAATAATCATTGTCTTCATCTATAATGCAGACATTATAGAAAGACAAAAATTAGCTTATGTAGCTTTTCTTCCACTTGTCCCATATATGTTTCATTTTTTTTTTTAGTGTATGTTTGACAGTGTTCTTGTTTTTCAGGTTATGGAATGTGATTTCTGTGACAGGAAATTCAAGTATAGAAAAAGCTTTCTACATCACATGCAAGCTGAACACGCGATGTCTGATGATAGTGATATCGAAAAAACAGGTACTGAAGCTGAAAGGCAAAAGAGTGGAGGCAAGCCTGATGGTAATGTGTTAATGAGAGAGTGTAAGTGCATTTTAAAGCCAGTTAATGATGTTTTTCATAAACACAATATGCTCATTTTGTTTGTAGTTGACGAAGGTGCAAATGAGGGGCATAATGAAGAAGGAATAGAGGGAGTTTACCCTGTGAAAGCGCAACCGCCCGGTGAAGATGACGAGGAATGGAATTTGCCAGAGCCTGAAAATACCGAGAATGTTGTCACCAAGAAACCTAGGAATAAGAATCAGGTGTGTCATGTATGTGGAGCATTGTTTGCTAGGTGAGTAATCATTGAATACATCATATTAATTTTACCACTTGCATATCCAGAAAAACGTTCTGGATGAGGTTTTGATTTCACAAATGGTTCAGGGTGTGGCACAGAAGACGGATGTTTTTGAAACGGCTCGTACTCTCCGCCTATTCGGGTGAGAGTGCCGTTCGACTCGGGCGCTCCTAGCATTTTTACCAGTAGACATGGAGCACCGCGTTTTCGCGTACGACAGTTTTGTCCAACATTTTGAGTCTATCACGGCTGTACAGTGAAAGTTTCGTCGCCACTTCAATATTCATCGGAATCGAGCTGTTCCTGCTCGAAACACCATTCTTCGTTGGGTTCAATCACTTCGCACACGTGGTGTGTACTGTACTGTGCAACCGTGACAGCCTCGAGATTACGCACGACGAATGAACTTAGCACGTGAGATGGAAGCACTTATGGAGCAAAATGAGAACCTCATTTTGTGCATGAGTGATGAAGGTCACTTTAATCTCAATGGCATGGTTAACCAGCAGAATTGTCGCTATTGAAAATCCGCGACAGTTACGTGAAAGACAGCTGCATACCCCAAAAGTGACGAAGACGGTAATGGCAATGCTGTTACCCTGAACTCGGATCGCTATATTGAAATGATCACCAACTTCTTTTCGCCTGATTTACGACGACGACGTGTTCCATTCCGACGTGTGTGGTTTCAACAGGATGGGGCGATGGTCACCTTATTTCCAGGTTTGGTGATGCTCATTGGCCTCCTCGGTCCCCGGATGTAACCATCTGCGATTTTTTCATATGAGGATACCTCAAGGCTTGTGTCTACCAGCACAAGCCCCCGAACTCGCTCAACTTGAAAGTCTACGCGAACTTCCAGCAATGAATCGTAAAACACGGTCACCACATGGCTGATGTGATTTTCCACACTTAATTGAGACAAACGCTATTTCATTGTGAACCTGAATCCGTCAATATATTTGTTTTTGAGTAAGAATAGCTGATTTTGTGATTTGTTAAAAACCGTCCGACCTTTGTGCAGGACCCTGTATAATGCCATTACAAAAACATTGCATAGAGCTCCACCACCAAATCGACAAAATATGGCTCTCAACTATTTAATTGACAGAAGTCAGAAAGCCAAAATTGGATCTACATTATCAAGATCAAAAAATATTTCTGTTGGTATACCACAAGGTAGTAAACTAGGTTCACTACTATTTATTTTATACATTAATGACAATTGTAATATTTTAGATTATTGTAAACTTCAGATATTTGCAGATGATACATTAATATACATCAGATGAAAATATAGACACTGCTGTAAAAATGCTAAATTCTGTCTTGTCAAAAATCGTAAATTGGTTAAATGTAAATAAACTAAAATTGAATACTTGTAAAACAAAATGTATGCTAATAGATAGTAATGTAAAGTTTGAGGATCACTATGAATACATTATTTCAAAAATTGTCAAAAAACAAATTACTTTTATAGGGCTTCTCATAGTCTTGGTACCTATTCCAAGAAAATAGTTTATAATACAATTATTCTACCGCGTTTACTATATTGTTCAACTATCTTGTTCACTGCCAGTGAAGCTGTATTCTCAAAATTACAAGTCTTGCAAAATAAAGCTATGCGGATGATATTGAATAAAAATAAGTACACCAAAATAAAATCGATGTTACAAGAATTGCAGTGGTTGAATATAAAAATTTCATATCACATTTGGTTCTTATTTTTATATTTAAAATAAAAAATCATCTTTTGCCAAAACATTTACATAGAATTGAATAATCATTACCACAATTATTATACAAGAGGAAATATAGATTTTCATTTACCAAATTGCAATAGATATAACTAGCAAATCAATATTTCAGAAAGGATTACTTGAATTTAATAAACTAAATAATGATATAAAGTCTTGTAATTTAAAGCTATTTAAAAGAAAATTAAAGGAATATTTCATAGACAATGAAAATTCTTAGAGATGCAAATTTTGTTTTTTTTTTCTGAATATCTGTATGTTATGTAATTGTTGTAGTTGTTTAAAAGAATGTAATTGTAGCAATCATGCTAAATGAGTCTCAAACAAACACAAACAATACCATAATTCGATACAATTGAAGGGTACCGGGGAAAAACGGCATTAGTCCATTATTTAGCTAAATTGAGCTTTCAGTTTATTTTGATAGCATTTTCCGGATGCTATCTTGTAATCAGCTTCTTAAATTGTAAAAAGGGCTTAGGTTCACAAAACAACAGCTATAAGATTTTCTGTGCCGGGGAAGAATGGCATGAGTCGCTGCTCGTGTATGGAAAAACTGCATCAGTCCATATGGAAAGGCGGCGTTGCATCGGCCTGAAAATCTAAATATCCGAAAATTACAAAAAATGTATACCGCTGGCAATGTTGAAAACAATATTTCCTATGAATCCTTCCGAGAAATCTTTGAAAACAACTTCAATATATCGTTCGGTTATTAACGAAAAGATACTTGTAGTACGTGTGATTCCTTAAAAGCTGATATATCTTCACTTACCGCTGCCTTAAATTCCCACACGGAACAAACTAGGCAGTCAGCAAGTAATAATTTAGAGAAAAAGGTACTTGAGAAGACACTATATCAAAAAAGGAGTGAGCGATTTTACAGTCTAAAGAGAACTTACCCCAAACTTGCCTCGAAGTTCCCCGCTATCGAAAGTATCACGATGGATTACCAAAAAAACTTGCCCTGTCCAAATATTACGACAAATGATGTTTACTATAAACGGCAACTAAATTTCATCAGTTTTAACATCCGCATTCTGACAAACTCAACTTCTATCTTTTATACCTACGATGAATCTATTGCTACGAAAGGAGCTGACAATGTCTGTTCTATGCTGTATCACTTTTTTTATAACATCCTGTGCAGTGCAAAATAAAAACTTTTCAGTTATTCGATTTTTGCATTTCTTGATTATCAAGAAAAATCGTTTTACTACTGTGAAAGAAATATTCCCGATCAGGGGACATTCATACCTCGAGTGTGGTAGAGATATGAGTCTCGTGAACCAAAGAGCATACCCTGAGGTACCGGATGACTGGAGAGATGGATTGAAAAATTGCCGTGTGAAACCTACACCATTTGAAGTCATTGATTGTGGCAAACATTTTGATTTCAAGATTGGAGTACGTTTTTATCGCCGTTTTATCCAACGAAGTGCCCCTTTCCAACCCGACCAGTCAGGATGCCCAAGTTTTGTAAACAGAATCCTCGCGTATTTTTTCACAAATCGACATACATGGGCCTATATGCTACTCCTAAATTTGATAAGGTAATTTGGAGGAATCTAAAAAAGATCAACAAAAACGAGAAGAGGAAACATTGAGAAAACTTTACCGGGGCCCAATCCCAATTAAAAGTAAGAAATGGAAGGATCTGCAGGATCTGACAAAATTTCTAGAGAGAGCAGATTCCAGGGCATTTTATCAACAGTTAATATCTCTTGAATAGACGCTTAAAGCAGGGGAAAAGTGGCACGAGTTCAGAGTTAAACATGATCTTTTGTTTGTTACGTTACTAATTTGAGTAAAAGTTCATTTTGTATAATCTATTTTACCAATAAATACACTGTTTAGCAAATATATTCTTTACGACTTATTTTTTCATCAATTTTACGTTCGAACAAGTAAGTAAACCTTAATTACCGATTTTCTCAAAATCAGTCCGGATGGACTATTGTCGTTATTCCTCGGTACCCTTCAATTGCGATTTCATCAGTTTCACACTCATTCGTTCTGGATCAAATTAAAATATTTTTTCAACTTTCAAGTTACAGATTGGTATAAGTTTATTCAAAAAATTATTCATGCTTTATATACGGAAAAGCATATCAGGCTGTGGAACTGTGAGCTTGACCACTTGATATTGACATATGAGCTTTATTAATTTTGTCATTATTTTAACATCTGAATGCATAGTTTTAAGGTGTTTCATTTAGTTGAAATAAATGGGATGCTGGAGAGTATATTAAACGTGATTTTGTTATTTAAGGGTGAACCATCTGACGCGGCACATGACCCTCCATCGTAACGTTCTCACCCACTCTTGTGACCAATGTGACAAAGCGTTCATTAGCGAGGAGCACCTGAAACACCACGTGGAGAAGGACCACGTGAACAAGCCGTACGTGTGTACGGTGTGCAACAAGCCGTTTAGCAGAGGAGAACATCTCATCAGGCATCTGAAGGTACACCAGACCGGTAACGAGGAGGAGAGCATTACGGTTTTGAGGTGTTCCATTTGCGATAGTACATTTACGAGGTAGGTAGTGGGTTTCAGTCGTATCAGATCGTTGAATTCGTCGAATTTATTATAGATTATACATTGGTACTAGGGATGTTACGGGTACCCGGCTTTTGCCGGGTAATCATTCTACCCGGCCTGGTAGACAGAATAAATGAAAAAAAAATTATTAAAAAGAGGCCAAAGAGCCTGTAAAAAACAACTTAATACATAATATATCAAATAATATAGGTATTAAATAAAAACTACATTATTTAAAAAAGTTAAAAACAGAAAACGAATTTACACGTACATAATCTAATATTTAAAATTAAGTAAATAAAGATTATGATGGAGGTAGGTTAGCATTTCGCCATTTTCTGCAGTTGGCCTACTTCGGTTTTCTTCGAAAATCATTCCAGCTTCTGAAAACAGCCTCTCACTGAATATTGTTGAAGCCAGAGCTGATAGAAACATCTGAACAAAATCTGCTAATTTGGGAAAACTCTTATGATTAATTTGCCACCATGAAAGAGGGCATGAAGTACGATCAATAAGTGGCAATTTCAAATAAGACTTGAATTGAGTTTCCACAGTTTCTAAATTTTTGGAAGTTCCTGCAATACTGTCGCGGCTATGTTCAATATTCGAAAATATATCCCAAACAGACTCATTAGGTTTCTTGCGTTTTTCGGGTATCTTAAATAAAGTGCTAAGCATCGTCAGATTCACCAGAACTTAAATCTACTGACGCAACGCAAGCTTTATTGTTGTCAATAGGTGTCATATCCACAGTTAGACTCTGAATATATTTTAAAATATCAACTGTTGTTTTATGTTTATCAGTGAAAAATGCATCCTTGAACCGGGGATCCAAAAAAGTAGCTATTAAAAAATTATTGTTATTCTCAATTTCACAAAAACGTTTAGTCAAATTTTCTAGCAAACTTTGCTGTATATTTTCTAGTCCTGAAATCTTAATTTCCATTAAAAAACTTCTTAATGACAAAACTGTAGGAATCACTTCCGGTATTATACATAATTCTCTGCTAAAATGTTTGGTAGTTTGCTCAAATGGTTGTAAAAGTCGTAAAAGCTTTTCCAACGAATCCCATTGACTTGGTGTCAAAGAGGGAACCGCATCAACTTCCGTAGCAAGCAAGTTAATGGCCCTTCTAATAGATAATACGTGGAATTCCAACGTGTTTGAACATCTTGAACCATTGTTTTGATAAGTAGGTTGACGTCTTTCTGAATTTCTTCTAATTTTGTTCGAGATGGAGAGGAATGGTTTATATGAGTCACTATTTTTCTTGCAATAGATACAACTTCCATAAGGGCTGTTTGCTCTTTAAGAGAGTTAACTACTACAAGCTGCTGAGTATGTATAAAACAGGATTCATTATTGATTCCCATAACTTTTGTAGCCTTCTTAATATTAGCACCGCTATCTTGAAGAACCAAGTGAACTCTGCCCACTTCTATGTTATTATTTCTTAACAATTCTAGTAAAGCATTTTTTATATTTTCACCTGCATGACTGCCATCCAGACCACAAATACTCTGCACATAATGTTTTTGTTCAAAATTTCTGGAAATCCAATGTCCAGTTAAACTTATAAAGCTATTATTGTTCACATCAGAAGTCCACATGTCTGTTGTGAAAGAAATAAATCTTGCATCTGCTAACATTTTAGCTACTCTACTTTGACACTTTTCGTATATCTCAGTGATGAGTTTTGCTGAAATATGGCCGACTGGGTATACAATACTTTCGTTCCAGGAGTTCCAGGACAGCAAACAATCTCTTGAATCCTAAAAATTTATTCGGGATGAGTTTATATGGCAACTTAAAAAGTACAGCAACTCGTTGCGTAGCTATATACGTTTAAAATAAAATGACACGGAAAACCATATTGCAAAAAAAATTGTCAACGAGAAACCTTTTTTCGTTACTTAAAATTTAAGTGCAAATATCATATAAAAATAAGTAATAATATTAATAATAATATGTAGCTACTTTCATTTTACCTTTATTCTCCACAACAGAAAAAGGTTGGTTATCAAGAACGATCATTTCTCCTATAGCCTGGTATATTATTTTTGCCCTTGAATCGTTTATGTCCCATTGTCTTTCGAAGCTCTCAGTAATTTTGATTTGTCTCAATTCTCCTGAAGATTCTGAACCTGAACATTGCTTATTTTCGATTTTACTTTGATCCTTTAATGTAAGTGGTTCCAAGACCGCGAAGAATTTTTCTGCCACATAATCCACACACTGCTTTTGATACATCTTCATTATCAATTATAAAATGTTCCCACACTCATTTTTAAATTGGCTAATCTCGCTCGATAACTCTCTAGTAACACTTTTAACTTTTACCTTAAACAATATAATAGTAAGCTCGATAGTAACTAGAGTGAAAAAGTAATAGTCAATAATACACCCACAGAACAATGCACCTGTTCTCGGCGCGGGGATCCACGCGACAACGTGGGGTCTTCCCCCAAAACATCCACGTTGCTCCGTGCATTTGTTCTACGGCAAGCTGGTTTTCGCAGAGTTGCCAACGCTTTAACAAAAAAAGATTACATATTCTTTGACCGACAGTTTCGCAAAAAAGTGTAAAAAAATCGTTTTCAATTTGAGTGTTTTGAGTTTGAGTAGTGGGAAATCCGAGAGCGTGCAAGCAGGTGGGCCGGGTACCCGGCATGAAGCCGGATCCTAACGATCCGGGTACCCGGTTTGGCCGGTTCCCGGAAATTACTACCCGTTACATCCCTAATTGTTACAGTTTCTTAATATGGTCGCCTAAAAATTAACTATATCTCGATAAAGTAAATTATTATGCTACATTGCCAATCTCATCACTTGATTTACAGATCTCGTGTTTATCTAACAGACAGTATTTTTGTAGGTCGGACCATTTAGCACGTCACACGAAGATACATTTACTGCAGGACAAGCGTCACGTATGTGTCGATTGTGGCAAAGCGTTCAACAGACTGGACAACCTAAAGACCCATCAACGCATTCATACTGGAGTTAAGGATAATTCTAAACTACATCTTTGTATATATTGTGGCAAAGAGTTCAATAATTCTAGTAATATGGTGAGTTATACTATTGTTCAGTGTCTAGCTTGGACAGAAAGATGTATTTCGTTTATTGATAATTCTATTAAAAATTATAATTTTTGCCATTGTTACAGATTGTACATATGAGAAGACATACGGGTGAGAGACCATACAAGTGCAGTGAGTGTGGAAAAGGCTTCCCTAGATCACATGATCTGAAATGTCATGAAAGGACGCATTCTGGAGAAAAGCCATATCTGTGCACCCTTTGCGGCAAATCTTTCAACAAAAGCAACAAACTGGTAAGTGGAAATACCAAATCTGTACTAATATTGTAAATGAGGAAAAGTCGATGTTTGTTGTTCAATCACGCCAAAATGTCTGAATGGATCTGGAATTGACAGCCAACTTGCATGCTTGGGAAAATTGGTTACTTTTTTTGGGGTGCCACCTACACGTTTCGCAGGCAAAACGCGGGACAAAGAGCTAATTTTGACAAATATATCTAGATTTTAATGACAAGGTACTCTAATTGACAACCTTATATGTTGAGCTATCACTGTCACTCATTTTTACTTCCTACGCCACTGGGAGGGGAAGTATTATAATCAATAGAGAGCATTTTGTATCTTTTTCACGAAAAACCATGTCACTCATTTCCATCGGTCTGTCGGCCCTCTAATACTTGACCCGTCTATAACTTGCGAAGTGCCGTTCGAATTTTGATGAAATTTTCTCACATCGTTGATACCATGCCAAGTACGAAAAAGCTTTGTAGTTTTTGGTCCAGTGGCGGCGGAGTAAAACGCCAAAAACGAAAAAATAAAAAACAATCAAACTTCGTTATTTTTCTGGCGATTCAGAGCGACCTGATTATTATGAGAAAAAATATTGTTGGATTTGAAATTAGGCACGGGTATCACGTATCTTGAAAAGTGACATTATGCCGATTTTTTTTGACTTTATGCTGTTTTTTTGACATTATGTAGGTTTTTCTACAAGATATTAACTTAGCACTTAGTCGTTGCCTAAACGTCATGTGAGGCTTGTTGTCAATCTTTGGCTCTAATGTGATGTAAAATCTGCTTCTGAGATGGCATTACTGGAGGTCTAAGCTGTAAGTTGTACGTGTTGATGAGAATTACATTGGGCTTTTGTCTCAAATACACTTAATTGAGATTCAAAGCTAGAAATTAGTTGCGCATCCACTTTTTCTTATCCATTCTGGAAATTACCTATATAAATTTGCTGAATTTCAAAAATGAGAGAGATAAGAAATAATTATATTCACTGTAGACTGTCGAATTACACACAACGCGGGCGCGGTGATGATTTCCCGTAATTCTCCCGAGTTTTTCGTAATTTATAACTTTGAACATAACCTCTCTTCAGAAAGCACAACATAAAAATAACCCGTCGGGCACAGCCAATAAATATACTTCATAGGCAGCATATTCAGTAATGATTTTCTCACACAGCAAATATCACTGATTTTATACACATGCAGACCAATACACATAATCATCCAGATGCGATCTTGCTATTCAACAACTTTCTTGTCAGAGATAAAAACTACAGACAAGGACCACTCGGTCTCACAAAACATATGCAACCAATGATGCGTGCAGTTTAGTTGAGTGATTTCTCCATAGATGGACATTCACAACGATCCTAGTGAGCAAACGTGGAATGACTGTTTGCGCCCTAAAAACTACCTAGTTTGCAAGATGAAGTCTTATAGGTTTTTTTGACGTTTTACATGATACCCGTGCGGGAGTTGTAGGGGTTGGGGGAGGGTATATGAACATTCAGAGAAATGTTTTCTAAGCTCACAGCCCGGCGAACCGGCCCGTCTGATTAATCTAACTGTACTGCAACGCAAAAAACACGGACCACGCTCGAAATGAACGATAACACACTGCAGCGCTGCCGGAAAAGGACAACGTTGCCAAATGCGCGTTTGACTCACTTAATCCGTTTAATTCCTCTGTTGTACATGCTCGTAAATGACATTTTTCCCAGAGGAGGTAAATTGCGTTAATCGACAATATTAAGCGGTGATTTTTTGTTTTTTTTTTTCACTTCCCATCTCGAGTCTGAATCGGGGCGTTCCGACGTCGGCGCGGTTTTTCCGTTTCGCAAACTAGAAACTCGGCGCTTTACGAGCGAGTAAGAACCTTCTAGTTACGAGGACGAAATACGATCTAAAACGGCGGTTAAAGTCGAAAAAACGGTGTTTTTTCGCGTATTGCCCGAACGATTTCCGCCGTCGTTCTGTCGTTTCTCAAAATATTGACTCGTCATCGGTCGCAATAGATAGCCAAATGATGGACGTTTCGTATTTTCTGGGTCCGCTTTTGATCCGCATCTTAGTTTTTTTCTAGAAATTTTCAAAGGAAAAAACCTGAAAAATGACTCATTTCCGTTAAAAAGCCGATAACTTCTCTACGGCAAAGAGAACAAACAATTTTCAAACGTCGGAAAATTGGCCTTTTTTGGGTCTCAAGCGTGCTGTTAGATATTCAATTCCTCTCTGCTCCGAAGATAACGGAGCTACGGAGCTTACGATTTTTGCGTGTGAAAGCCCAGATATCGGACATTTAGAACCCGATTTTTTTCTATTTCTTTAATATGTTCAAAAGTTTCGATTTTTCTTTAGTTTCTTGCCAAAATGCCGCTTTTCGTGATTTGACCCTCTGTGCTTTCGATTTTTTCATACTTTCGATTCAAGTTTTGCAAAGTGTTATAGCCCGTTTTTATGCTTTTGAAACGTTCTTTCACACTTGCTTAACCGTATTCGTACAGGGTGCGGCAGAGAGGACGGACGTTTTTGGGATGGGTAGTACTCTCCGCCTCCGTCTACGAGAGAGGTGGAGAGGGTGCCGTTTGACTCGTGAGATCCTAGCATTATTTTACCAGTTGTCGTTATGGAGCCTTGGACGGTGGAGCACCGCGTTTTCGCCTATGATTGTTTCGTCCGAAATAATGAGTCAGTCATCGTCGTACAGCGTGAGTTTCGTCGCCACTTCAACATTCATCGGAATAGAGCTGTTCCCTCTCGAAACACCATCCTTCGTTGGGTTGAATCACTTCGCACGCGTGGTAAACTGATCAACAGAAGACCAAGATGAGCGCCGCGAACAGTTCGAACTCCTGAAAATGTTGAACGCGTTCGACAGGTCTTCGCAGTCCGACTCGATCTGCCCGAAAACATGCTGCATGATCGTTCGGTAAGCCCTGATCGATCAAAATGAGAACCTCATTTTGTTTATGAGTGACGAAGCCCACTTTCACCTAAACAGCATGGTTAAACAGCAGAATTGTCGTTATTGGGCTGATGAAAATCTGCAACAGTTACACGAAAGACCGCTGCACAGCCCAAAAGGGTTTGGTGCGCTGTATCGCAAACTTGCTTCATTGGCCCTTACTTCTTCGAAGACGGTAATGGTCGTGATGTTACCGTGAACTCAGAGCGCTACGTCGACATGATCACCAACTTCTTTCTCCCTGAATTACGTCGGCGACGTGTTCCAATCCGACGTGTGTGGTTCCAGCAGGATGAGGCGACCGCCCACACAGCCCGAGCATCCATGGACGTTATTCGCCCTCTCTTCCCTGGTCGCCTTATTTCCAGGTTTGGCGATGTTCATTGGCCTCCTCGGTCCCCATATTTATCCATATGCAATTTTTTCTTATGGGGACACCTCAAGGCTAGAGTATACGCGAACAAGCCCCGAACTCTGGACGAATTGAAGGGCGAAATTCGCGTGGAAGTCGCCCAAGTTGAGAGAGCGATGTTGGAGAGAGTCTACGCGAACTTCCAAGAACGCCTCCAGCACTGCATCAACGATTTCGGCCACCACATGCCTGATGTGATTTTCCACACTTGACTGTCTCAAATGATATTTCCTTGTGAACCTGATTCCATCAATAAATTTGTTTTCGAATAAAAATTAACTATTTTATGATTTTTTTAAAACCGTCCATCCTCTCTGCCGCACCCTGTATTTTTTTTGTTATTGAGAAAAATTGCAAAATCCTATATAAACTGATGACGGCGTTGCTTAGGAAGGGCAGCATGACGTCATTTTCTCATTTATTTTTTAGCTACGTCATAGTCGCGTGCACACTGGAGAACGGCCATACGTATGTAACATTTGCGGCAGAGCATTCACCCAATCAAATGATTTGGCTCTGCACATGCGCAGACACACCGGAGCTCGGCCTTATGCTTGTGGTGTTTGCCCTGCTAGGTTTATCCAAAGCGCACAGCTCAAAAATCATCGAAGAACAACAGGTATAGTAATATAATTTTTTCGGATGTTTGCATTTTGTACTGATTTTACATTTTTATCTCTTAGGTCACTGGATGGACACACAACCTGATCTTAAAGGTGGCCATAGAGTGGAACCTGTCACACCCGCTCACGAACCAGCACCAATAAGGTTCAAATCTTCCAGATGGGCTGCTGAAGATAGGTTAGGAGGGTATGCAGCTCATATTTAAACACGAAGAATAAGGACTTCAAGTCCAAAAAGAGTTTATAACAAGAACTTCATATCATGAATTCATGCAGTTTTTGAATATCAATTTACCAAGATAGAGTATTGATATGTATACAGGGTGTTTCAGTTTGTTGTTGCATAACTTTAAGATTCGATAGAACTTTTTTTAATGCATAAAGTCTATATAAACATGGGTCGAAAAATGCGTGGCTTCCGAAATACAGGGTGTTTAAATTTACTTTCTAAAATAGTTTTTTTTTAAATATTTCGAACAATATTTGATGTATAACAGTGAAAATTGGTATACAAGGGTTTTTTGGTACGACAAAACGAGCAATGAGCATAGTTTTACTGTAGCCGCTAGAGGGCGCTCTCTACTGTACCTGTATTGTATTAAAATGACAGAAAAAATTTGCTTAGTGCAATTTTTTGCTTTTTGAATAAAAAAACTGATTCTTCGCACTTTTCAACATAAAAAAGCTCTCATGTGTGTTTTCATTATAGTTCGCCGTTTTTGAGATATGTATTTCGATTTTTAAGGTTCGATGCATTTTTAATTATTTATGATAAAATAACGTTAAAAAGTCAGTATCTCGATAATTTTTAGAAGTGCCTGCAAATATTTTTGAAATTGAAAGCAGAATAAGGTTAAAACGTCAATTAGTTGACAGTTAGTTTTGTTGTCTGTTGAAACCTGAAACGTTTTTTTGCAATTGTGAATGCACGAAATTTAGTTTCTTTTACCTGTTTTTTTTTTTTTTATAAAAATGCCATTTTTATTCTCCAATCAAGAGTTAGCGGATATTCATTTTGTGTATGGCTTTGTAAATGGAAACGCAGCAGAAGCAGCCAGAGAATACGCACGAAGATTTCCAAACAGACGACATCCAACTCGCTCAGTATTTGTAAGAGTGCATCGCCAAATAATTGAAAATGTTTTTGGAAATCTCCAAATGGATCAAAACATAAATGTTCGTCAGCGTAGATTTACCCGTATGATTCTGCGTGAGTTTGAAACAGATCCGACCACAAGTGTTATGAGAGTTTCTGGTGCCTTGAGAATTTCAGCAAGCCATGTTCACCGTGTTCTTAGAAATGACCATAGACGTCCTTACCATTTGCAACCTGTGCAAGGACTACAACCAGGGGACGGAGAACGAAGAATCACATTTTGTCAGTGGATTCTTGATAGAACTGATAATATTAGGGAGTTTTTAAGTAACGTTTTATGAACCGATGAGTCATGCTTCACTAGACGTGGAGTGGTAAATTTTCATAATCAACATATTTGGTCGCATGAAAATCCGCATGCAGTTCGGGAAAGACATTTTCAGCATGAATTTAGTGTGAACGTGTGGATTGGTATCTACCGTAATCGACTATTTGGACCATACCTTTTGCCTGCAAGGTTAAATGCTGCGACCTTCTTGGAATTTTTAAAGGCTGAACATGCAAAGATGTGGGATGATGTTATGTTAGATTTAAGAAGATTGGCCTGGTTCCAGCTTGATGGTTGTCCAGCTCATTATTCGAGAATAGTTAGAAACTGGCTGGACGAAAATTATCCAGAAAGATGGATCCGCCGTGAAGGACCAGTCGCCTGGCCTCCACGATCCCCTGACCTAAATCCATTAGATTTCTTTGTGTGGGGATTTCTAAAAAAACACAAGAGATATGCTAATAGACAGAATCAGGAATGCATGTGATGAAATAAGGCCTTATTTGAATAATGCTATACCACGTTCGATCATTCGTAGACGTGAATTGTGTATTGAACAATTGGGTTTACATTTCGAGCAACTACTTTAGATTTTGTATGTTTGTCCTAACTATCCAATAGCATTTTAGTTGTAAATAATTAATTTAATTTGTTAAAAATAATATTGGAAAATTAAACAAATTAATATTGTTTTTTGTGTTTATTTGGAGTTAGGAATTATTGCTGTGTTTAAAAACACAATCTAAACGATCATCTTAATTACTTGTAATGCCCAAATCGAAAATGTAAAAAAATATTATTTTCCCATAAATAATTAAAAATGCATCGAACCTTAAAAATCGAAATATCTCAAAAACGGCTAACTATAACGAAAACTCACAGGAGAGCTTTTTTATGTTCAAAAGTGCAAAGAATCAGTTTTTTTATTCAAAAAGCAAAAAATTGCACTAAGAAAAAATTTTCGTTCATTTTAATAGACTACAGGTACAATAGAGAGCGCCCTCTAGCGGCTACAGTAAAAAAACCCTTGTATACCAATTTTCACTGTTATACATCAAATATTGTTCGAAATATTTAAAAAAAAACTATTTTAGAAAATAAATTTAAACACCTTGTATTTCGGAAGCCACGCATTTTTCGACCCATGTTTATATAGACTTTATGCATTAATTTTAAAAGTTCTATCGAATCTTAAAGTTATGCAATAATAAACTGATACACCCTGTATATTTTCCTAGGATGAAGAAGGAAGATGATGCTTCTGAGGTGGTTTCCAAGTCGGAAGGTCAATTAATAATGCAGTCTCAGCCGGGTGGAGAAACTGGTCAGCCAGGTGCGTTATCTGTGGATATCCAACCTATGCAAGGAGGTCAACCCCAACGGATTCTCATGGGAATCATGAGCAACATTAAGCTACAGAATGAGGTAGATATTTGTTAAATTAATTCCCATGCTTAGGCATTTATACGAGGTCTGCGAATTTAGTAATGAGACTGATTTTTTCAAGTATAATCACAATTTTTATTGTCACCTTCTGAAGCCACACAGTGTTGGAGACTGTTCTTCCACCCCTCATAGCAGTGCTGGAACTCCGATACTGGAATAACATTCAGCTGGTTGGTTTCAGATGTTTGAATGTTTTTGACTGTCCCCAAATCCCTTGATGTGATTTTTCAACATCGGGAAAAGAAAAACGTCACACGGACACAAGTCAGGCAAATAAGGAGGCTTAGGAGTCACACGAATGTTTTTACTGGCCAAAAACTCGTTTATTGACATCGCTGTGTAACAAGGAGCATTATCGTGATGCAACGCCCAGTTGTTCTGATTAACTACTATTTAACTCTTCACCGATCATTCTGACTGTCAGCCGACGATCTGAACGCACAAGAGCCCAAATTTTGTCGATATTTTCATCGGTTCTTGAAGATGAAGGCCTTCCGCTTCGTGGTTTATCTTCACTCGACTCTGTCCCTTCTAAAAATGCCTTAAACCACCGAAAAATCTTGGCTCTTGACGAAACACTATCTCTGTAGGCCTGCTGCAAGAGTTTCTGTTGCACTGAATCACACCGTTGCTCGAAATTGATGTCACTCATATTTTGAACACAATAGGAAAAACTAGTAGTAGTAGTAGTAGAAAGATTTATTTAGCACATTTGGCTACATAAGCAGAACAATTGTAAACAACTTAGAACTAGTAAATTCAAGCCATATGGTGTATGATGTAAATGCTGGGCAACCTATAATTGTAGATTTAACAAGTGATTTCTCAATTTTACTTTAAATTTTGTCAAAGTTTTCTGGTCTTTTATCTCCGAGTATAATTTATTATATTCAATCAACCCTTGATGGAATACAGATTTATAGCATATGTTATTCTTTTTGGTCATTAAATGGAAGTCATCTTTATTTCTGGTATTATGTAAACGATGGTCGACATTTGATGATGTTAAATTAGTTAGACTTGATGGAAATATATTATTTTTTACTTTATAAATGAATATCATTAAAAGATATTTGATAAATTTTTTTACATTGAGCCATTTTAATTTGCTAAGCATTTGCCTAATTGGAGTATGTTTATCTTTATTTAGTATTATTCTCATGCACTTATTTTGTAAAATTTGCAGTCTTTCAAAAATGGAATTATTTGCTAAATATAGAATAGTCGAACAGTACAAGAAATTTGAAAGAATGATGGTATTATAGATAATTTTTCTGCTATATGAACTCAGACATCCAGAAACTCTCGATAAATATCCCACTTTACTACTAATCTTATTTATAACTTTTTCATAATGAATATCAAAAATTAATCGAGAGTCAACAAAAACCCCCAGGTATTTAAAATTTTCTACGAATTCAATATCTTCACCATCAATATTCAGTTGAAAATTTGTACATTGTTTTTTTCCGATTAACAAGGCTTTCGTTTTACTTGCATTTAATTTTAGTCTGTTAGATGCTAACCATTTTGAGACAAGCTTCAAGTTGTCATTTATATAAGAGATACCAGACTGAATATTTTTAGTACTTATATAAATCATAGTGTCATCGGCGAAAATCTGAATTTTGCATTTTTTGACTATGGCAGGTAAATCATTTATGTATAAAATAAAAAGAAGTGGTCCCAGGATACTGGGAACTGTGGAACACCCAACGTATTTAAAATTTTTGATGAAATGGTGTCATTAACTTTTGTAACTTGCATCCTTTTAGACAAATAATTTCTAAACCAATCTAAAACACTTCCTGTTATACCATATGCCTTCAATTTACCTAACAAAATATCTCTATCAATCGTTTCAAATGCCCTTTTCAAATCCAAAAATACTGCTATGACAACTTCTTCTGAGTCTATGGCTCTTCTCCAATTCTCAGTTACCAACTGGAAAGCTGTTTTTGTGGAATATTTTTTTCGAAAGCCTGCTTGCGCCTCCACTAAAATTTTGTTTTCTTCTATAAACTGCATTAATTGGTCATGCACTAGGGACTCTAATAACTTTTCAATGTCTGGTAACACATTTACTGGTCTCATATCGCTGCATCTTTTAGAATTTTTTATTTTGGGAACTGGTGTTATTGTAGAGCATTTCAAATTTTCAGGAAAAGAACTGCTTCTCAGTGAACAATTGATCCAATTTAATACAGGATATCCCAAAATTTCGAAACAGTTTTTCAGCACATCTTTAGTAGTGATTTCGGCACAGTTGTCATTTGATTTTAAACTGTTTACTTTTTTTCTTAGATAATTCAATCAAACGCTGTGAAATTTTGAAAGTGTATGCAACATTTCCCCCTGGAAACTGATTTTCATATAGTCAGGTGCAGAATTGGCAGTACCCACAATATCAACAATACTTTCCACAAAGTATTCATTTAGTTTGTTTGCAATCACCAAAGAATTTGTTTCGGTACCGTTTTCGAATTGAACTTGATTTACACAATCATGCGGCTTCGAATTGATCAGTCTTTTTAAAGTCTTCCACATCTTTACACTGTCGCACTTATTATCGATTTGTTTATCGTAGAATTTCCTTTTTTCTTCTCTAATTACATATACACATTTATTCCTAAGAGTTTTATAGACCTCCCAATCATCATTTGATTTTGTGAATATACATTTATTGTATTGTTTGTCTCTCAAATTTTGAGCTGCCTTAATATTCTTGTTATACCAGGGTGTATTTTTTGGCGAGCAAATCACTTTTTTATCAGTTGCGAGTTCTAAACAAGTTTTTATATTTCCTATTATGTTGTCATATATTTTTTCCATATTCTCACCAAAATTCCAATAGCAACCAGCAAGTTCTCGTTCAAGTTTTTCGTACTTAATAGTATTTACGATTTTCTTAATTTTTGTATCAGAAAAATGCCCTACCAAGGGCAGCATTGTCCAACTGTGATCGCTAACTTTAGGTGTATGTACAGCTTTAATCCCTGCACATTCGAAATTTACAATAACAAGATCTAACAAAGTCTCTAATACTGATGTTATTCTGGTACTCTCTTCAATTTTTTGCTTGAACCCATAGTTGTTTATGGTTTCTTTCAATTTTCTTGTTTTCATGCTTTTACCATAATAATTTAAATTAAAATCACCTAAAAGTATTATATTGTTTCTAAAATTCCACATTTCTTCGCATTTTTCTTCAAAAAACGTTAAAAATGTATCCGCATCACTGTTTGGTGAACGGTAAAAAGTACAAAGATCATAACGTTTCCCAAATAATTTGAACTGTATATGTGCATACCAGTATGCATAGTCTAAAGTGGTACAATCGAATAATGTGATCGGTATTTTGTGGTAAACATAAATCACTACACCTCCAGTATGTCTGGAGTTGGAGTTGCATCTGTAGGTTTTATAATTAGTAATTTGTAATTCACCATCAGTGATGTCTTCTGTAGCATGTGTTTCGGTAAGACATAATACAAGTGGTTTTCTCCATCTTAAAAACTGTTGAACTTCATCTATATTATTCAGGACTCCTTGTATGTTTAAATGGTATATTGAGTTATATTCATCACTTACAGATTTAGCCACGTCTTGCAAATCTGAGCTTAGTAGTTGCTATTCATTTGCATGACTAATTTTTTCCCTCTCACGTTCAATTTTCCTTTTATATACTTCACAATTTTTGTCAAATGGTCCATGATTAATAGGTAATCCTAGATTAAAATCCTGGTTTGCACTTTTACAATTTGGACAGCATTCGTACATTTCACTGGTACTACAGTTTTCTGTTGAATGTCCTTCTAATCCACAAGTAATACATCTTTCTGATTTTGTGCAGTATTTAGCTGTGTGGTTAAATCCGGTACATTTATAGCATCTCAAAACATTGATGTACTCGAAAACAGAGCAAACAGACATGTCGATAAAAATAACACCCTGATTCATAACACACTTAAAAGTCACAGCATCCACTTCTAAAATTGCTTGATATTTAGTTTTCATTTTCTTGACTGTAATTACTCTCATATGTGATTTTTCTTGAAAAGATTCATTTTGTGATTTTATAGTATTTATTAGCTCGTCTTCTGCATATTCTTGACAAAATCCAATAACTTTGATTTGTGGTTTCTTACTTATCTCTGAAGTTTTCACTGTATATGTTTCTGGCATTTTTGATTTTATTTCTTTATGTAGCTTCGCGTTATCATCTTTTGTTTTACATTGGATTTTCACCCCACCATTCTTCAATTCATAAACTTTTTCAATAGCAATTTTCAAACTGGTAGGATTCACAAATTTTGCGATGTCTTTCTTTGTGTTATTACACTCTTGTTGGTTATTAGGCTTAACAATGACTGTATTTGTGGGTTTTAATACTGGTGATTGTTTTTTTGCTGTACGTGTTTGCAATGGTAAGCATTGCTGCTTATATTCTACCATTGTTGTATGCGAATTAACGGTTGAAGGCCGTGCAGCTTTAACCATATTAGCGTAAGTTGTAATTGCTTCTTGTGACGGCTGTTGCATCTTCCCAATTTTTTTGTTTAATTGGTCTATCTTTTCGTACAATTCTTTTATTAATTTCTCTTGAATCGAAATGGTATAATCTTTTAGTTTCAAAACTTCCTCTGTACAACTCAGTGAGACCACACTCTCCACTCCCTCACTAGCTCCATCCTTTTTAGAGTTGTTCTCCATATTCAAACTAAAAATTCAGGAATCTCCTAAAAACCTTTTTTAGCTTGACCTAATTTTTGACATTAGAAGTCAAAAAAGTATTTCCAGAATTAATTTTCTGCAATCTCTTCCGTGTGGGATCTGCAGCTGCAAACAGGTGTGGCGATATATATTTTGTTAATCTTCCCGGTGATCCTTGGTTGATATTTTTATGTGTGGTCTTTACCAATATTTCGTGTCTGTGTTGAAGCGAATAAAAAGAGCAAGTGTAGTAATATATATATATATATATAGATATATATATATATATATATATATATATATATATGTATAGTAATATCATTTCACAAAAAAATGCTACGGACAACCGAATGACTCGAGCGAGTTCAAACTTGTACTGAAGGCGGATCACATGTTCCGCTGTCTCCCTTACCAGCCCAACTTACAGACATCCTTATCTGTAGCTTCCATTTTGAAATAAGTGCTACCATGTTTCTGTTTTGAATCACAGGTTCAACCTTTGCTGATCGACGGAAACAAGCTAGTAGAGCTGCACCAAGCAAGTTTAGTGAACCTTAGCACCGTTATCCAGACGAGCGCCGGCGAGGAGATCAAATTAAAGTCTGAAGCGGGTAACGGCGGAAGCGGGGGCGGGTACCCTGTGACAGTCCCTGGCAAACCGGAGGATACGGCGGAGGCGGGCGGCTCGTACCAGGATGCAGCTGTTATTTATTCCGGCGAACATACTCCTACGACGTATACGACCAGCGAGGCGTTCAATTTCCAAAACTACCATTAGGTAATTAATGTTTTAATTGTAATTCGATCAGATAGATGGTGTTGGCGGTGTGGCTATGGTTTTCTGGCGAGAGCGAATTGACAAGAGTATAATCAAAATCACGAAAGATGACTATTACGTCTTTCCATTAATTGTATTGAAGTAATCAATGGACGTACGTCGATGATATAATGACAGGAACATAATGACAACAAATCTATACTTATTATGATTTTTCGAAGTAAGGTTATTTCACTGATTATTTTTATTTTCATTTTATTTCATGGTTTTGAGTGATACCTTAATAATAATTGAATCGGCGTTTACAGAAACGACACATGTCCAAAAAAGTGATTTTCGAGGAAATGGGGGCAAGATATATTCATAAAAAAAGTCCTAGAGGGGCAAGAATTTATAAGTCTTTTTATTCAACTTTAAAGCATCAAAACAGCTAAACAAAAGTTATAAAACTACATAAAAAATAAACTAGAATAGTTATTTTAACAATTTTTGTGGTAAAACTGGTGGTACAGTTTATGTACCAGCGCACAATAACAACACTAAAATATAAATTATTTTCTATGATAATCTTGAATTCTTGAAAGCAAGTTTTGTCTTTTCCTAGACACAGAGGTACTTCGCACACTGAGCAAATCCAGTCAGTCCTAACCTGCTTTTTTGAGGTGCTACACCTAGCACATCGGCGTCTGGTGTCCCTTTTAGGTTGATGCGCACTCTCAGTGATTCTCACTTCCACAGGCACATATGGTTTTTGCTTTTTTATAGCCACACCAGTAGATGAAGATGATTGTCTTTTTTTTGCCACGATGGTTTCTGCAACCAAGAAATTAATCACCTCTCTTCTAAAGTCCTTCATTGACAATTTTGGCATGTTAAGTTCTTTATATAAGTCAAACGAATTTACAAGTGCTGCATCGAGGAAATAGAAGAAAATGCGGTGCCACCACTTCTTTGCTTTCCGGTCAATCTTATAAACGTTAAGATTTTGATCGAATTTGTCTACAAAGTTCATGTTCTGATTATAATCGATCAATGCAATCGGACAGGGGACTTTCTCAATGACACCATTTTTGTTTTTCATCTCAACTTCTGTAAAACCTGTGGGATCATGAAAATTTGATAAAAGGTGAACACTTCTTTTGTCACGCCATTTTATAGCTACCGAATTAGTGTTCGAAGTTAGAATCTGAGATTCACCACGTTTTAAAGCTTTATCACTTGTGAAATTGGGAAGTAATTTCCTATTCGGATTGACTGTGCCACAAGCGTGAAGGTTTTTTGCTTTCAGATCTTCTAAGAGCTGAACGCTATTAAAAAAATTGTTGAAGTAGACAATGTGATGCTTGTCTTCCATGCCATTGAGGAGATATTTTACTACTCTTGCACCTAAAGATTTTTCTGTATCTTCTGATTTTCCTGTATATATCTGGAACTTCTGACAATATCCATTCTTGTTCTCCAGTATCCATACCTTATACCCTCTCTTGATCAGTGTTTTGGGAAGGTATTGCTTCAGAGAACTCCTACCCTTGTATTTAATCATTGATTCGTCAATGCTTACCTCCCTGGTTGGATTCATGCAACGTTCAAAATTTTGAGACAATGCTGTTAGCAAAGGCCTTAGCTTATACAGCTTATCGTAACCAGCTTCACCCTTTTTTGGCATTATTGCATTATCATTCAAGTGGATATTGGAAAGAAGCCAACTGAATCGTTTTACAGGCATCAAGGAGCTTATATACGAGTCGCGAAATTCCGGGGAACTGCGCCAGTAATCTCTATAGCTGGGTGATTTCTTCAGCCCCATTAGTAAATTGATACCTAGAAAAGTTTTGATTTCCGTGCGGTTTGTGGTTTTGGGTTTGATAGATGTTTGCTGACTATACAAGTTTGTCTCAAACACAATTAAATCTAACAGATCATCGTCAAAAAACAGCTGAAATAATTTCCCAGGTGTGGGTGATTCTGAATCCTTCACTATATTTGTGATTCCAGAATCGGCAACAAAATCTTCAGGGCTTTTTGGTGATGTACTGGTTGACCAATCTCTGGTACTGGATAGTACACGTAATCGTGCTTGTAAAACTGCAAGTGGTTCGTCGTCTGAATCGCTATCGGTGTCTGCTATATTCAAATCAGCATTGGTTCTTTCTGTAATTTCATATTCATCTTCAGATACATCCACAATTGATTCAGAATCAGAAGGTATAGGATCTGCGTCCAAATTTTCGATCTCGTGCAACAACTCATCATACGTCATGCCGACTAACTTGAAAGGTAATTCATTCATGGTAATGGATTTATTCCACCTGCAAACAAAACGTTTAGGGGCGATGGTACAAATATCGTACCACAACAATTCGTAGGCTATGAAAGCCAAAAAAAAATTAAACCGTAGTTATTTGTCATTTGTATATTCTACAGATTGTACTGTTTGACTTAGCATGCAAACAACAAGAAAGCTCTATATTTTATTTACCTTTGTTCACCTCTGAACTTAAAAACACTATAATTTACGTTTGAAAACAATTGACATAACCTCAAACCAGCCTACATTGAACGCCGCCGGCAGAATACTAAGAATGCGTTTCCCTAGCATCAAGTAAGCGCCAATCACCGTTGGTCGACGATTTAGACCGCTGCCATTAATACAATATGCATTTGATTAAGTGGTACATTTTTTAAGCCACTGCCCATGTAAACGTTTTTTTTTTTCGGTACACTTTTAGTACCACTTACATTGAAAGAGTTAACGGTTGGAAATCATAGTTTAAGGCGGCTGTAATATCTTCTAATATTTAATTTTGGTCAAAATAAAAAGTAAAAGTTTGTACAGCCTTCTAAAGAACTGGACATGTGAGCTTTCTGCATAGCGTAGGATGAAATTGAAATACTTTTGTCTAATGGAACGTGATTATTTATTACAAATTGAAATAAACATGTAATTTCTAATTGGAAGTAGTTGGCCAACTAAGGATTGAAGTATAGAATTCTTGATATTCATCTTCTACAAACGCTGCACATTTTCTTATGTGTTCCATTTTTGTCATCTTTATAGGGACTTTTCCCAATGGATAGGCCTGTTGAGAAGGTAACGCTACTGCAGTCTTCCCTGACTGTTGGCGTTTGAATGTGTGTTGGAAACCCCCGTCTATGAATTGCGAAGCCTCGACGCAACCCTTTCTTTGTGTGTCGTAACTAAATTGTGTGAAATGGACCTTTAACTTACGTGGTGTAATGTTGGAAGAAGTTTCCTCAGATATTACGTTTTTTTGTATAGTTTTGGCCACCACTTTTTAAAGTTTATAATATCTTTTGTTTATACTTCTTTAACGGTAAATTTATTCGACTTGCTGCTCATTACAATCAATTCGGCTAGTTGATGAACCGTGGAGATTCTGTCATGTTTTTTTAGTTTTCTCTTCACAATAGCAAAGTCTCTATCACAGGGAAGGAAAGAGTGACCTCTTATAGGAAAATAGTGTACGATTTTGGAAAACTGGCCACTATCTGCCAGTGCAAGAAGCATGCGAACCAAAGTGTGATTCTTATTTTGTCCCCAGCAGTTGTCACTGTATATGTGGATCTCATTTATATTATTTCTGGGAACATCCTTAAGGTCATCCAAAAGAAAAGAGCAAACCTCGTTGGCAGTTTTCTTCGCTTGCCTTTCATGATATATATACATTCGTGCAGTATTTTCCTTAATATTATGTATACAAAACACCGAAATGTAAATAAAAAACATCATCTACAGGTGTTTTTGGCAGCTGAACATTTTGCCTAAAGACGAAAGCTAAAGCTACAATATTTTTTGAATCACAAGGTTCATTAGACTTGCTTTTCAGTTTTGCATAAAATTTTTTAGTTGGCCATTTATGGACTAGCAGCTCTGCAACTGCTGCTCGTTTGGCAGTATCATTTAAGTGCGTGTTTTTTATTTTGTTGCTTAAAGTCTCACATGTTGCACACATATCAACTTGAGGGCGTCCGAATCTCAAAGAAAAAATTTCTCGAAAATACTTTGTGTAATATGGGTAGCTGACTTTCAATGTGGGGTATTTTTCCTTAAATAAGTCGTACATAATCTTTAAATTCAGCTCACTATTTAAGTACTTAACTTCTCGATTTGCATAATGGCTTAATTTAACGGGAAACGACTGAATGTGTTCTCGAACAGCAAACTGAACTTCTTCGCCGAGTTTATTACCACTTGGATTTTTTCCACGTAAGTCTCTAGGGGATTTTCCTAGCACGGCAAGATCTACCTCTTAACTGCTACTAGCGATTTACACTACCTGCCTGTAGGGGTGTGCTTAACAGTGAAATTTTAATATCGGTGATCACTGCGACTGCTATCAAAAAGTAGCTGCTACTGCAAGCTGTGAAATTATCACTCTTTATATAACAGTAACTATCACCTAAAATTCCGCGTAACGTAATAATTAATGAAGTCCTCTGCGAATATGAATAATAAAATATTTGCGTTTAGCGTTACTTACTAGTCTTTACTACTCAGCCTTCAGCTTTCTGCGATTTGACCGTTCCGAGAATGAGTGAATGAGTAAAAAAATACCTTTAAATAGTATTTATAATTAGGACATGGCTATATGAAGTACATATATTTAATTTGGAAAAAAATATATATGTAATTTAAACAATTTACAAAATAAAAAGGTATGAACATCGTAACAAAAAATCAAAGTAACAAATAGTAAAACGTATTTTAAAATATAAAAAAATTATGCGTAATAAAAATACAACAAAAACTGCTGAAATTATTCTATGTATTCGCATTTAAAAAAGTAACTTGTTAACTTTTGTAGCAGAAAGTCGTGTTCTTCTGTCACTAATTATCAGGCTACTTCTGGAGAACAGTCGTTCACAAGGTACGCTAGTTGCGACCATACAAAGCTGTTTTCTTGCCAAATCCGCCAAATTCGGATAGAGTTGTTGATTATTTTTCCACCACAGCAGTGGATCATCCTTTCTGGAAATGATGGTATCGTTACAGTACCTATCGACCTCCAAAATAGCCTGAGACGTAGCTGTCCCCTTAGGAATAAGATCGGCCATTTTATTGTCAAACTCTGCCCAGTATGACAGTACATTTTTTTCAGTACTATTGTCGGTTTCTTTTTTTGCTTCCAACCGTGGTTGTTGTCGGCCAGTGCTTGCTTCTGCAGTTTTTACATTAATAATAGCGGTCACTAAGTTAATTACTTGTTTTTTTATATCTTGGGCATGTTCTTGATTTTCAAATATATATAATTTGAAACGAGGGTCCAGAAACGTGCATACACCGATTGTTCTGCTTTTTTCCAAATCTGGAAAACGCTGTTCTAAACCAGCAACAAGCTGATCGGCAAAATTTGTTGAATTTTCGCAGTAGTTTAAATTAATAGCCTTTTTGGTAACGGAATTTAGACCTCTTGCAATTCCTATAATTACGCTGCCCGTTAAATAATTCTCACCACTAACTTCCAAAGTAGCTTCTTCGAAAGGCTTCAACAATATACAGATTTCCTCGCAGATTTTCCATTCCGTCTCCGACAACATATTTATTTTTGGTGCGTTTAAATTAGCGACGGTACTACGAATTGCTTCTTGGATTTTTACAAGCCGTTGAATCATGTGATATGTTGAGTTCCAACGCGTTTCGACATCTTGTATTACACATAACGGATTGTCATTCCCTAGTTGCCTTTGAGCCTTTAACAGTTTTTCTGTCGCTTGTGGGCTTCTTTTGAAATGATTCACTATGGTTTTTACTTTCTCAATTATTAACGTTTCGGATTTCAGAGCACTGCGTACAACAAGATTTAATTTATGCGCAAAACAACCGAAATGTTTCCACATCAATTCCTTGGTTACTGCGTTAGTAATGTTAGAAGCGTTGTCAGTAATGACTATGAGTATTTTATCTAGCAAACTCCATTCTTCGGCGGTGCGTTTCATTTCAGCGGCAATCTGTACAGCAGTATGTTCACCTTCAAATTTTATACATTTAATTAATTTGGAACGCAATTTGAAATCTTCGTCTATAAAATGTGCAGTTATGCCCATATAATTCTCATTTGCCGTAGACGTCCAGTGATCAGTTGTCAAGCATATCTTTTTTACTTGATTCATCTGTTCCCGTGTACTTTCATAACATTTATTGTACATTTCATGAAGTAGAGAGTCTGATAAATATTTTCGCCCTGGCAAACTGTAATCTGGAGCCAATGCTGCCACAAAGTTTTTGAACCCTTCATCCTCAACTATGGAGAATGGTTGATAATCTTTAATAAATAATCCCATAAGGAGTTCATCGTAGCGCTTTTTCATAACGGGAGTAACTTTTTTTCTTACAAAATTATGTACTTTCTCTTGGTAAAGTGTGTGAACTTTATTCGGAATCAAACAATTTGAAACACTAAAGCTTGTTGATGCCTCGTCCGCTGTAGTGACCAAAACTGTCCCATTTGACGAGGGCATAGCCTTTCCATTTGTTGAATTTTTAGTTTGGGCTAAGGCTGAATCGGTACTGGTTGCATCTGACGGTGAAACGACTACAGTGGGATGTTTTAACGATAAATGCTTTCTTAAATTAGTTACGGATGTTTTAAAACTTAAATTTTGATAACAGTATCGACATTTCGCCATTTTATTTTCATTTTCTTCAAAGTGTAACCAGAGTTCACTACTTTTTCTCCTTTTATTAGGAGTTGCCATTCTTCTCAGTGCTGTAAATTATATTTAAATAAATGCGGATGTACCTATACGCAGTGTAACATTTACTTACCGGTACGACACAAACCAAAACAAACACGAATAAATACTTTGAAATACCTAATTGCGATAACAAAAACTGTAAGTTAGGTTAGCACATTTTATATCAATCCACCCTGCAAAGCGCAGGAATTTATACAAAATGAAGCAGTCAAACAGTAAACTGTGAAACTTTCTTTACCTAATTAGCATTTAGCAGTCGTTGATAAGCCGTCCAGCTGATAGATGGCGATCGCATTCACAAATCATAATTCATATTCAGAACAATTTCGCCTTTTATCTCGCATCGCACTCATCGAAGTATTGCAGTCGCACACGTACACGGTACGCAGACATGAGACAAGGTGTGCGACGTATGTGCGATACGCGCCTTCGCAGTTAAGTTAAACAGTGATATTTTCACTCTTTCGTGCAGAAGCGAGTAGCAGCTACCTAAATGATTTGTGAGTAATAGGTGAACAGTAGCAGTGAATGCGATCGCAGTCACTTCTCTACCTGCCTGCCGGTGCACCCCAAAATTGCCGCTTGCGAATATATTCGTCATACGCATACTAAAAGTCAAAAGTAGTCAAATATTATCTATTTTAGAACTATCAATATGTTTTGATAGTAAAAACACTTATTTATTGAATCAAGACAAAGACATATTTCAAGAATTTTATTTTACACACAAAAAATCGTTTTTCGCGGATATATACGCCATATGCTGAGCATACATTTTTGATTTGATTTTACTCAAAAATACCACACAATAAGGTAATAAATCATTCAATTTATTTAACGAAAGGAACATAAACATTTAGTACAAACTCAAACATATTTATATGAGGCATAAAATATGTTCTGAAAACAATTATATTATTTTGGAAAAATAAAAAATATAAACAAACTCAAAAATATCTAAACTCAAATTTATAACGTAAATAACGCAAAAAATATAAGAGACAAACGCCTTGAATATTTCACGGTTTTTCCGTATGGAACAAGCCAAAACAAGATGCCGGACATAAACCGGATCTGCATTCTAAGCACCAGTACCTAGACTCCTTTCTAATTTTTTTTCATAGCAAATGTGACACCTTTTTGTTGGCTTCTCCTTATTTGCTGTGGGGGGAATTATCGATGGAAAATGGCGCTCTACAAAGCGAGATACGTTATATGATCTGGCACGTCGAAGCTGTTGAGCAACAGGTACACTATATTTCTGAATCAACTTTTCCCCGAGCTCCATGACAAAGTTTAATCTTGTTTTTTGACCACCACTTTGTTTGTACAAAATATAGGAGTTTAAAATTGCAATATTCAATAAATGGAAAAACATTTTTTTATAATATTTTTTTAAATGAGTTCTATCGAGGGAATAGAAATGCAGAAAATTATCTGATAAATCCACCCCACCTATATCTTTATTATAAGATAAAACAACAGCTGGTTTTTGTATTTTTTTGCCACGCTTCTCTATTTCAACCATTCTATTGTCATGAAGAGTGCTAATCATAGTGATATCTTTTTTATCCTTCCATTTTATGATCATCACTTTTTTTTGAACATAGCCACAGACTCCCTTTTTCTATTTTTTTTGTTTTTATGTCTTGCGGAATTCCCTTCCGATTAATCCGCATAGTTCCGACGCAATCGGTTCTCCGTTTTGTTAGTTCTTCGACTAAATGTGGGCTAGTGTAAAAATTGTCCAAAAACAAACAGTGTCCCTTATTGAGTAGACTATCACATAGTGACAATACAATTCGTGCAGCGATAGGCTGCTCAATATACTTATGGCCATAATTTGTGTCAGCCCCTGTATAAACAAAAAAATTATAGACATACCCTGTAGAACTTTCGCATAGCATATAGAACTTTATCCCAAAACGTTTCCTTTTTGAGGGAATATACTGCTTCCAGGACAAGCGTCCTTTCCACCCCATCAACGATTCGTCAACAGATATGTTTTTTCCCGGGATATACACACTCCTAAACTTATTTTGTAAATGGTCAATGATAGGCTTTATTTTATACAATTTTCGTACGTGAGGATCGTTGTCGAGAAAATTGTTGTCAGCAAAATGTATAAACTTATGAATAAGGCGAAATCTATATTCCCGCATGGTTTTCACGAAAAATGGCGTTTCGATACTCTCGCGAGCCGAAAAATACATATCAAAAGAAGGCTTTGAACAGACGCTCTGCAAAACGGTAAGACCGAATCGAATTTCATTGGGACTGGTGTTTTTCCACTTGCGGACTCGTGACTACGGCTTCAGTTTTTGTCCATGGTGAACGATAAACTGAGTAGCATATCTAAAATAAATAAGTTTTATCCTAATAAATATGAACATGTAAACTTATGCTAACTGTATACCTGTTCGTTTCTTCGGAGATTAGGTTTATTATACTGTAGTCGAAAAACAGCTCAAATATATCTACCGGGTCTTGTATATTTATTGGAACTTGTGCCCCTTCTCTATCTGTATATGGGAACGGTGGCCGTGGAATTCCATTCTCAACCCACGGGACATCTAAAGGTTCAATCGGTTCGCTATTTGCTTCCTCTTCGTCTTCAGACAAACTGAATTCGATATCAGAACCGTCCTCACATGAATTTTCATAATCGCTATCCTCTAAATCACTCTGGGTACTACTGTCGGAGTCATCTGACTCTTCCGAGTAAAACAAATCAGTCGATTCTGCTTTCCTTTTTGCCATTGTAAACAACGAAATGCCCGCCGGCTATCCACTACACGCTTCATGCGCGCTCTGATCTAAAAATAGACCGAAAATTGTGTAGCAATCGTGATGGCCGGCAGAGAAAAGGGTGGGGAATCGTAATATCTATCGCAGGCGAGTATATTCGTCAAATTCACGGAGAGGACCACCTAAAACTGTCGTGCGAGTATATCCGTCATAAGCACGAAACCTAACTTTTTAAGATGCGGATATATTCGTCATAAGCAGTTAAGAGGTTAAGTCTTCTAACTCGACCCAAAGTTATACCATAGACTGAGATAAATGCTTTCAAACAAACTTCAATTTTGTCTGAACCTTTGAATGTGTTGTATTCAAAGGTATTGGATTTTGCTTTAGTTCCCATCTCAACCCTAGCGCGCCGCCGCTGTATACTTCGAACCTCTATCACTCCTTGCAGAAATATGTCCTGTTGATCCTTAGATTCAAGAGAAATAAAGCGCACCATATTTGATTGCAGTTCTTCGTTGGAGAATTTTTCAAAACATTTTGCTCGACAGCTAAAAGATAAGAAAACATTTTTCAGAAGTCAAGCAGAAATAAAAAGCCGTTCTAAAGTTACCTGCAAGCGGAGCCAAGTATTTTGCCAGGAATATTATTACCCTTGTTTTTGTACTTCTTCTTCCACTTTTCCATAGCTTGTTCTATTATTTTGTTATTTACGACCAGTTTACATCGTCTCGGTTCTGCTGATATCACCATGTTATATATGAGCGCCGTATCTTCGAATTCTTTAATTAATCTTTGTAGGTTATCTTCATCGAAAACAACCTAACCTGCTTTAACATAACCTAAGTATTCATCTTTCAAATATGATCGATCATGCAACATGAAAACATCGTCTATCTTTGTCGGATACATGCAAATTAGCAATACAGTTTGTTTAGACAATGAAATTCTGTTTGTCTCTGTCTAACATATCTGAAACTTCATTAAAAATATTCACAAATCGCTGTCGTTTGTCTTTACTACAGACTAAAATGATGACATTATCGTCATGTCTTCTGATTTTGATTATAGCGATGTATTGGAAGCAGTGTTGCCGAATCTTCCGATTTTTCGGCATTTCTGTAGAAATTAAACTCTAACTAAACTAAACGACAATACCCCTGGCTTGCGGAATACGTGTAAAGTCTGGTTTTATTGCTGCAAGTTGTTCAAGGGGGTACTTAAAACATGGACGCATTAAATGGCTACACCAATTTTCGTGGGAAAATTTTTTATAAGACAACAAATAATGAGAAAACGTGTTTTTGAGATTCGATCGTGTTGGCAGAAACGAAAAAATCATCACATAAGATTTTTAGGTATTTATGAGACCTACAAAATGCGACCACACGTAAAAAGATCCGACTAATAGCAAAAAAGTTATGGCCGAAAACCATGCGACTATGGTTTCTCTCAGATACTTGAAATTCTTCAAATTCGTAGGATTCATTCTTCTAAATAACCACAACAAAATTGGAGTAGATTGGTCAAGTAGTTTTTGAGAATGTCTAATTGTTTATCAAAAAACACCTGTTTTCCGGCCATCACTACTAGTTTATTGAGCAATATACAGGGTTAGTTCAAAGGGAATTTTATAGCAAAATACACTATTTTACCTTGCCGATATGAATCGCAAACCATTCCGGAAAATAAATGTGATGAAACATAATGGACAAGTCGATCAATCTTATCGCACTAATTCACTGAGCTGCTGAACATTTGTAACATATGTAATTTTCAAAAACTTTTCGAGAAGTTACGTGGTGTATGCTGTTTCCTTGTTCTTTCTGGAAAATTATAGCCTTGCCAGACACAGATTAGTTGATTAGCAGAGACTTTTCAAATGTATATAACTCAGTAAAGTGAGTGATATGTGAAAAATGGTTTTTGCCTGTGTATTTTATGTGTAAGAAACCAGGTAGAGTGAATAAATTTCATGATTTGTCTAATCGTCAACTTTAGAATGCCCACTGTGTGGGTGTGGATTTTCATTGTAGCTGTTTTGTATGATATAAACATTTTTTAAATCTAGTGTCGCACTGATAAATATTTTTTTTTTAGTTGACTTTATTTATTCATTGTATTGATGTTTATCAAATGATAACTTTGAGAAGTCTATTACCACCTTGGATCACAATTTAATTGAACTCGGTCATACTTGCTATGAATCCGACGTAACGAATAAATTAGAATTGATTTCTCATTAAAGCACTATACATATAAACACTTATTTTAAGTTGTCAATCATATATTCTACTTATATTTTCATCATTCCTAAAATGCTGTATAGTCAAGGTACAAGTATATGAGTATGCTAAATTAATGTATTTTTATCATTCGGAAAAACGTTGATTTTTTGTCAGTACCTAAGTAAAATGTAAAATACATTTTCATAATCTTGTATTTATTTCTTCATTATTATCATCCAAAGCCTGTTACACCTTAACAGGTTAGTTTTTCTCAACTTAGCTGAAGGATCACCTTACAAGGCATTTTTAAAGACTACTGGTGCAGATATTTTACGAACTGTGATCTAGTAACCAAATACCCCGAAAAAGTGTGACGTGATCCCAACGTTGGGGATTATCTGCTTACGGCAACGGCGAATTGCCTCATCGGATCATGGCGTTAACGTTTGAATGTATACCACATACCACGTAAAAGTACTACGGCTTGCAAGTGATATCTTCCCTTACAGATTTCATCGCAGTATTTTGTTCAAGGTATCGGCGCAGCATAGATATCAATCGGCTACGAAACTGTCCTGACAGTGTCAAAACGGTCGCCATATCAGCGGAGAAAATTGCATGTAAATTTCCCTAGTACAGCTATGAAAGAGATTGTAGTGTTTAACAGCAGCCGGTGTTGCCGCGTATCAAGTCAGCGACCACAGATATTCTTTGCAATCTTAAAATGATACTTTGATATGGTCTAGTGTAGTTTATGAGAAAAACTAATAAAACGGGGTATGATTGTCCAAAGAGAAGTGACGGAGAATTGCTGACTATTTACATGGTGCGGCAGTCAAACCTGCATTTTTTAAATAGCTGTAAAAAATACGGTTGCGTTTTAACAATTTTATTGATACCATGTTAATTTACGTCAAAAAGCATTTAAGAAACATTACTCATTTAAAAATAACATTATTCTCGCCTTCAATTCTTCAAGACTACGAGGCGAGAAAAAATCACATGCACTGAGGTCGGGTGAACGGGCGGGCCAAAAAATGGCTCCGTTCCGAGATATCACCCGATTTGGGAAAATTTCTTTGAGGAGTTGTATGCTTACGCGGCCGCGTGGCTCCATCATGTTGAAATGACATTTCATCATTCAGTCCATGTTCGCGAAGACGAGGAATGAAGAATGTTCGGAACATTTCCTAGTAGCGCTCCGCATTCACGGTAACCGCTTGTCCCCTTCGTCATCTTTCAAAAAGAATGGGCCTATGATTCTCGCACATCAAACTGTTACCTTGGCCGGATGGAGAGGTTTTTGACAGTTTTCATCGCTCCAAAGTCTAAAATTTTGCTTGTTAACGTAGCCGGAGAGATGGAAATGCGCCTCATCGCTTATCCAGAGCAACGTGTGAAGTTCGTCGTTTTCTTCCATCATTTCCATAGTTCCCAACACCGACTTCTCAAATAGGGACAGTCCCGTAATGTTAAAACCTCTTTCATAGTTGTACTAGTGGATTTTTTTCTTCCAAAATGGCGGCCGTTTTTGGCACTGACAGGAAAGTTTCATAGCTGATTGTTATCTAAGCTGTCGTATCAGTATTCCCATAATCTCATCGTTATTAGAAAGTCGTGATCACGTTACGGTCTAATCACTGATATCAAAAAGTAACGATATTAGATATTCATTATTCAATATCGGCCATCTCTATTAAAGAGCATAACATACAAGGTATAATAATTGCTCAATAAGATAAACTCTAAAAGTTTACCTATTTCGGAAGCCGGTAGTATTACAATTAATAACTCAGTCTTCTAATAAAAATTATCCAATCCCTTAAGATCTATTTATACTCTCACGTTTCCGTACCGCCGGCGTAACGCTACCGTTTACAATTAAAATCAATTCATAACATTTCTAACGTTACGGCGCGTGAGGCATATCCTAACCAAAAATTGCATTTTCCACGTGTTTGAAGGCCAAATTTGCAACAAATCTCCAGATATTTCATATTGTTTTGAATAAAATATAACAATCTCAAACGAAGCCATGTCGAGCAAAACAAAACATATGTCATCTCAAACAGAGCGAAAAGCACGCGTAAAAACCAACTGATCTGTCGCAACAAACACGTGATTTATAAGCTCTCTTTCATTGGATGAATGGGGATTGGCCACGGCAGAAAGTTCGTCAAGTCTAGCGTCAGCGTTGCAGAATTCCTGTTTATAAACAGTTTAACGTCAAGCGCATGAATCGTACTATCTGTCAGGTCGACCATTGTAGGCATACCTTGTAAATGATCCTTAAAAGAATACTTAAAGCTATAGTTATATATTATAAGGTATCCAAGTTGTGTATAGATTATGTCTATATAAACCTAAAATAAGATTGTGACTTGTGTACAACTGATATTTTTAATAAATTCGAAAGAGTGATGCTTGTCTTATTCATCATTTCCACGACGAGGAAGAATTTCGAAAATGAGATTTTATGTTTTCATCACGAAAAACTATGTCACTCATTTCCGTCATTCTGTCTGTTTGTCTGTCCGTCTATAACTTGGTGGGTACTCTCTGAAGAAGAGGGGGAGACTCCGAATCGAATGAATTTAACTGTTGAAAGTTAGTAAAGACTTTTGTTTAGAATGCTCGAAAAAACAAATTTTTGTTCGTAGCGGAAATATCCATTTTTGTAGTTGTTTAAGCAGATGCGAGATTTTTTCTCCTCGGTGGTGGATTATCTCTGGTGGTCGATCTAGGGAGGAGGGGGTGCTCTCTGAGTGTCTGGAATCCCCCCTCCCCTCCCTCCATTCATAAGATGCATTAAGAATAATATGATTGCTGATTCAGTATCCAGATTCGCCCATTCCTCATATTGCTTCACTATCTGCTCGTAATGTCGCAATCTTCTGGTTCTTGTTGTTCTGTGGTACTGTGTTTGTGTAAGGTTTATGTGCTTTGCGCATGTGTGCAGAAAAAAGTTACTAGTGACGTTTATCGACATTTATTTTGTGACGCATCATAACCTCACTTTACGTTGAAATACAAATTCAACTCTAATTACAATTGAATAGTTTACAACATGATACAATTTCGGCTTTGAGGCATTTTAATGGGGATCGTGGATTTTTCATGGCAACCTGCCGATGACAACTTTTTATACCAACTAACCTATATGGGGGCTATCTGTGATTATTACGTCAGTCTTACCCTAAAATTACAATAGCTGAATGCTTAAGTCTACTTTGATGACTATTAAAAGGTATAAACCAGCCATTACCACAGATTATACCATTACACCAAACATCTACAGACAGAAGTGAAGTGATCCTGGGATCTGTGGGGTATGCCGAGATATGGGAACTTTAACATCCTTTTCATAGGTACATTTACTTTTATTTTATGTTGTACACTTACACTTATGGTAAACATAAACTCAATCACAAAAACGTGCAAACTAGATGACACAGATAAAGAGCATAATATCATGAATTCCAAATATCGAGGACCAGATCTGATTATAATTATATTATCTGCGCCAATAAATGTGAAAAAAAGACAGCTGATAAGAAACACTTGGACAAAGCTTTATGGTAGGAAGCAGAATAATTTAGAACAAACTTTCATAGTAAAATACTATTTTGTTATTGGAAACGTTGGTCTGGATGTACATATTAAGAAACAAATGAGTGATGAACAAATGACAAACAAGGATCTCTTGATTTTGCCAATCCTAGATGATTACAAAAACATAACATACAAGGTGAAACAGACATTTCAGTGGTTAAGTGATCAATATGATTATGGAATGGATTTCAAATATGTCCTAAAATGTGATGATGACAGTTTTGTTCATCTAAAATCATTAGTAGGTGAGCTTATTGAAATAGAAAAGCTGTATTTGTCTCCACCAAGCTTAAAATCAGTTATTGAAGTGCTGAAGTATAGTTCTGCTGAAACCATGTCCGCAAACATACAAGCAAATAATAAGGATGGCCCAAACAAGTTGAATCTTTACTGGGGGTACTTTTATGGAAATGCAAGGATCTTTACAAAAGGAAAATGGAAAGAAACAGAGTGGATATTTTCAGACAGATATATGCCATATGCATTAGGTGGTGGTTATTTGCTATCCAAGAATTTAGTGACATACATTGGCAAGAATGCTGAAAACTTGAGGTAAGTCTAGATTATAATGCTTTCAGATTTTTTTATGTAAACATGAAAGGTACATTTTGCTTTCAAATACAGTAATAGCCAGCATCAGAGATGCATTTTTTCCCTCTGAGAGTAACTGATGGGATTGATTAGTATTAGATTTGTAATTTTGTAGGTAGCATTTTTATGTACTATCTTGTTCTGTATTTAAAATAAGTAGGGCTGAGTTGGTGAAAATGGTTGGTAATATAAGAATATGGTTATTTGGTTTTTTGTGTTAGTATTTTTATTTCATGGATTTTTTGTGTGATTGATGGAATGTTATTTTTTTGATGGGTTTCTACTTTTTCTGTTATTCTTACCACAGAAACAGTGAAAAATTGTTGCCTAAAGGATCCTGATATCAGATTTTTATGACAAAATTGACCAATCTTGGCACAATTGTGTATTGTCTAATGCATATACTAAATAAATTATTAATGTCATAATATTGGGTGATCAAAAACATTGCAGCATTTTTATTGCTGACAGTTGATTAAAAAATCACACAAAAAGCTCATGGAGATTTTATATTATAACATTTGTATGTACTTTCAACACCTAAGTACCTGCTAAATTGGGTGGAGATTCGATTTACTGGTACCAGGCAGGAAAGATTAATTAAAAATAAGGCTAACCTAGCCCTGGGATCTTGGACTATTATATAAATGAGTGCTGCAATACGTCTTACTGTTGCAAATTATAATATCAAGATAACATTAAAATTATACCAGAGGAGTGGATGAAGGCATAGACTCATAATTTTGTTCATGTGGTATTGACATTGTAATACAAACAAGAAAGTAGAAATTGATTATTTATTAGTTGCGGGAAGAAAAACATTTCATATGCCATTGACTTCAGAGGCATCTATTGCATTTTTGGATATGGTATTTAATATTATATAAATTGTTTCTCTTGAGAAATTTTTGCCTGACGCCTCCAGAAGAAAATTTGGTTTGAATATTTGAGGATATAATCTGTATCTTGGTAATGGCACAATTCAGGACCTACATTTATATGGACTATTTATTTTTGGATGTAATTTCTGCTCTAGACATATTGCGCTTGTTTTTTGAAACACCATTTATGTTTATACCTATATGTATTATATACTAAGTGACATATAAATCCGAACACCCAGTTTAAATGGTTTTATTTTAATAAAATTTTGTATAAGTACTTAATGAAGCATAATAAGTAAATGATAAAAATTTCATAATGATTGCACTGCTTTAAAGCCCTTTGACCTTTAATAATGTGTGGATGCACCCTGATGTGCTACGCATTCTCCAACGCGCCTAGGCATGCTTCTGATCTGGTGGTCAATGTCCTCCTGTGGTATCTCATTCCAGGCAACCACCAACTCCTCTCGAAGTGCTTCTAGAGTCTGAGGAGGACGTTGCAAATTGAGCAATCTCCTACCCATCATATCCCACACGTGCTCAATTGGGGATAAGTCGGGAGATCTTGGTGGCCATGTTAACAATGTGACATCATTATGTTGAAAGAAGTCTATTGTGACTCTTGCAGGTGACCTGGAACCATAAGCTATAGCACCCCAAACCATAACTCCTACAGTGTGATGAACATGTCTTTCAACAAAAAACTGTGGATTCATCCTTTCACCACGTCGCCTTCTAACCCTGGCACGACCATCGTGCATGCCTAAACAAAATCGAGACTCGTCACTAAAGACAATACTGTTCCATTCCTGATCCCAGAGTGACCGTTGTCTACGCCACTCAAGGCGATTACGTCTGTGTTCTCCAGTTAAAGGGAGGACCCAGTGTGGCCGGTATGAAAACAAGCCAAAACTTCTCATTCGTCGGTAAACACTTCGCATGCCAATAGGTCTTCCGTGTTCTGCAAACCATTTATTTGCAATGGACCTGGTAGTGGAGAAACGGTCCCTTAAGGCCAATAATCTTAGGCGGCGATCTTCACGGTCTGTTGTTCTACGGCGGCGTCCAGTGCCCCTTGCTCTTTGCGTACGACCTTCTCGAAGGCGTGCCTGACAACACCTAACCACAGTGTCTACACTTCTTTGCACTCTAACTGCAATTGCCCGAAAAGAAAGTCCAGCTTCACGAAGTCCCACTATACGGCCCCTATCAAACTCACTAAGTTGACGAAATCGTACAGGTCTCCGTACTCTAGGCATCGTAACCGATCGTAAAGGATGTCAAGAACCAAAATCCGCCTACGTTGATTCTTTACTGCGGCTGAAATATTCATTTTAGAGCGTTAGTGAATTAAAAAAAAGCTGTATAAAAACCGGAATGTCCAACTGATAAGGCTGAAAATTTTTTCACTTGTTATTTACAGTAAGATAAATACATCCACCAACTTTTATTAAAATAAAACCATTTAAACTGGGTGTTCGGATTTATATGTCACTTAGTATATAATTTCCATGTAGTACACCAGTAATTTTCAGTTTTTGTATTTTTACATGGTGTTTTTTGTATATATATATATATATATATATATAACTTGAGACGTGGTCATTGTCGTCTAGACCAGTTAGGTGAAAAATTAAAGCTTCCGCCTTTTGTTGGGTACTTCGACAAAATTTAAGCAAAGAGGACTCTTTATACTTTTTTTAATTCTCTCTAGCTTTCAATGGACTTTGCCATCATCATCATCAAAGTCCATTGAAAGCTAGAGAGAATTAAAAAAGTATAAAGAGTCCTCTTTGCTTAAATTTTGTCGAAGTACCCAACAAAAGGCGGAAGCTTTAATTTTTCACCTATATATATATATATATATATATATAGAGCTGAATTTTCACTAAATTGTAGTAATTCCTACATTAAGCCAATTTTTTTATTTTGGCAACCCTTCACTATGGTGATATAAACTAAGATTCAGGATCCAAGCATCCACATTAATTGTCAAAATCTTCCATTACTTGAGTTAAATTTACTACATATAGTAACAGTTAGAAAACTGTTTGATCTGAGAATTAAATTTTCTTCCACAGGACCTTCAATGCAGAAGATGTCAGTGTGGGGTTTTGGTTGGCTCCAGTGGATAACATTTTGAGAATCCATGACACTAGGTTCGATACTGAATGGAAATCAAGAGGATGCCAAAACCAACATCTTATTGTTCATCATGTATCGCCTGAGGAGATGTTACAGTATTATAAGAATGTGGAGGAAAATGGTGAGTTGTGTCAAGTGGAGAAAAGGAAGAAAAACAGGTCTGTGTATATATACAACTGGAAGGTGCCACCTAGTCAATGTTGCAAGACAATTGAAGAATCTACTATTCATTTGTGAATTAAATTCTACTTAAAGTTAAAATTGTGTATGTATGTATGTACGAGTTTTTCTGTGGGTGTTTCGGTGTTTGACAGTTTAGCTGTATTTTAATAAAAATGATTGTTCTGTGCGAGTTTCATACAAAGACCTGTCGCTGATTTTCGTAAAAAATAAAGATTGCAACAATCACAAGCTTATATGCTCGCTCTATTTGTGATTGTCACGTCATTCCAAGTTTAACACATTGACTGTCCAATGAGCCACATATGGCTCATGGACCATATTCTCCATGCGTCCATGAGCCCTATGTGGTACATAAATTCATACAACTTTTATAAGTTGGACGTGGTAGTACGCACACATTTTTTGTATGTGGGCGTTAGAGTATTCCTTACTCGACACTTTAAAAAAAAAATTATTAAAATCGAATGAAAAATAAAGATTTTATAAACTTTTTATTTTTTTCGGTTTAATAGGTAAAAACGTAAATTACTAACATATATCTAATGGTTTTCTCCAAAGCAAGGCACGCAAAATGCTTGATTGCAGGATTTGCAGATAGTGTTGACCCTCTTAGCTTTTTTTGCAGATTCTGATGCCGAATTGTTTCCGCGCAGTTTCCCTTAGCATCCGTGGCAACGGTTTCTGTAGAGTTTGTTATTATCTCTAGGCAGTTCTTCCAGTATGTGAATAGTTTTTTTGGTCTTGCCTCCAGAACCGCCATCGTTATTAGATTTTCTTTTTAACATCTCGCTTATTAGGGATTGTCTCATTTGCAAAAGAGATACTTGTACTTTTTTTGGACGTTGTTCATTATATATAATCAGAGTGTTTACAACGAGTGTTCCACAAATAATCTCTATGGCGAGTTTTTTATACCATGTCAATGACTTTCTTTGACAAGTGTAGTAGCTGGCAAACTGATCAGATATATCCACCCCTTGTTTTCCTTTATTGTAGTCCAAAATGGCAGAAGGTTTAATCTTATCTTCGCCATTTCTTTTTTTTCCACAAGTTTTCATTTCATCATCATGAACAGTTGAGAGAAAAAGAACGTGACGCTGGTCTTTCCATTTTAAAACAGTAATACAGCCATTTTGTCTTGAGATTATTTCGCCCTTGCGTAATTTGTGTATAATTACTTCTTCTGGCAGACCACGCTTATTTTTGCGTAATGTTCCCAATAGGTGGGTGTTTCGATCATAGAGATATTTTGCAAGTTGCAGGCTAGTGTAGTAGTTATCAGTAATTACCATTCTGCCTTCATTTAAAAGAGGTCTCACTAATTCCACTACAGTGCTTCCTGGTAAATCAAGCCCATCAATGGCGGTTGATACACCGTCATATATTTTTAGATGCCAGGTATACCCATTTGGAGTACGTACCTTGTACAACTTGATTCCATAAGAGCAGCGAGCTTTGGAAGGATTATATTGTCTGAATTTTAGACGTCCGCGAAAAGGCACCATTGTTTCGTCTACCACCACAGTATCACCAGGACAATAAACAGTTTTTATGTTGTTTTGAATGATGCTCAATATTGGATTTATTTTATCCAGCCTACTGGTGGACGGAAGTGTATTGTCCTGAAAATGCCAGCATTTGAGGAGTAGTGTAAATCGATTGTAGCTGATTGGTATTTTGTGAAATATTTCGTGGTAATAAATTGGATCTTTTTTCCAGTAGCTCTCAATGGTTGGAAAATTGATAACTCCCATTAGCATGATGACTCCTGAAAAGAAAAACAAAGAAATTACAAACAAAATAAACGTAAAATTAGGCTATATAAAACAATATGTTCGTAAAAGATCACAATCTTTGTAAGCAAATTTTAATGAAACTAAAAAAGAAGCTTTTTGTTTATCGGTGTAGGGGCTATTGTAAGGCAGTCAAACATATTGTAAGGCGGTCAAACATACACATAGACGTTATGAACCAGAGACCGCTAATTCAGGTCAAAAAACCCCAAAATATTACATTGTTGATGTAAACCAAAATACATAGTATTCACTCACCAATAAACAATTCCATTTCATCTTCATTGGTGTCATGCCATCTGGAAAAGCGGGAAGATGTTCGTGGTTTCTTATTTGCTATTATTTCACGTGCACGCACATTGGTTTGCTGGACCATAAGTTGTATTATTTCATCTGTCAGAAATAACCTATATATATATATCTCGTACATCTTTGCCTTCAATTGGAATTAATGTTCCTTGGGTTCCTGTGAACTGAAATTTTTTAAACTGCAAAACACAATCCGACCAAAATAAGCTCAAATCTTCTTCATTCTGATGAATGAACTCAGCAAACCCAATATCATCACTATCTGAATCAATCTCCTGATTACTCTCAGACTGCTCACTCGAAATTTCACTGCCGCTGCAAAAGTCTGGATCGGCAATGCTATGATCGGAATCGAAATCCACTGATCCATCACTTATTTCTGATAAGTGGTTTGCATAATACTCTAGCTCCTTATCGGTGAGTTTTTTTTCTATTTTCAGACATTTTTAGTTCACTAAAATCAAATCCAAGCGGATAACCAATATTTCCGTATTATGTACCGCGGTTATAATATGGTTCAAGATGACACACGGGATGGTGACGTCAGTTACTCGAATCGCTTGAACGCGTTGGTTTTAACCGCGGTTTGTTGCAAGTTGTTTATTTTAGAAAAGCCCGTATATAATTTCTGATTATTTTTATTATCACTTAATAATCGATGCTTTTTCGTCTACAACGGGGAATGGAAAGTTGAAAAAAAAGAAAATTTTCATAATATTAATGGGAGGAATGTTTTTTGTAGCTATGATAACTTGCAATTCTCTAAACTTTTCCGCATGTCAAAGAAAATATTTATTGATTTAGCAGAAATGATGAAAAAGCGATGAAAAAAAGATATTAACAAAACCGTATACAGGTGGACATCATCCAGTGAGTTTATACGGCCATATTTTAATATTCTTGTGGTATATGGCTATACAGGATACTTTTTTAAGTGTAGGAACTAGATTTAAAGTGTCCTCAACAACAGTGATGATTATAAATAATAAGGTGCTCTCTTATGCTAAAACTGAAGTCAGCCTGTATCAAGTTTCCCAAAAATGAAGCTGAAGTACAATAAAAATATTCAATACCCGGCAAAATTCTAACTTGTCACATGTCAAATAATAACCAGAAATATAAAACTACTCCGGAGTTGGGTAAATACCACAATTTTGCGGTGATAACTATGACATATAACAGCTGATTCGTGACGTCACGGATCTTATAACCAAACTGATAACCACACTCGCTTGAACGGATCGGTAAATACCAATCCAAAATGGTAAATACCATTTCAATTTGGTTATCCGCTTGAATTTGATTTAAGAAAACTACTAGGTTCACCAAGTAAATAAATAATTTGAGGTTAAGTTAAAATCGTCTTCTTTTTACTTTTTGGTCTAATGCGCATGAGCCATATGAGGCGCATGGGACGTTATCATAATCTGAACTACATATGGAGCATGCCATATTTAATGGTGGACGTATGGGTGGAGTTACTAATTTGCATATGGACAGTTAATGTGTTAACACTATAGTTATGCAATTCTGTAATTTATCCCTGTCAATAGTTTCAAACGCCCTTTTGGATTACAAAATACTGTCACTGTATGCTTCCTATTGTTCATATGCTATCTAGAACATGATAGTGCCACCTAGTCAATGTTGCAAGACAATTGAAAAATCCATTATTTGTTTAGGATTAAGATTAGATTGTAAACATCTGAATAAAAATATTTTTCTGTATATTATTTGTATCATGCAACATATCTCATCTCTGTTCTCTTTCAGTAATATCTAAATAACTCACAACTTAAATTGAGGTATTGACGTTCGATTCTGATGAAAAATAAAGTACCCCCTACTTGAAAAGTAGTGTACATTATAATAATGAACTTTATACTTTATAAATGTTTACCTTGCATGCAATTATTGCAGCAATTATTGTAATGTTTGCAATTTACTCTCGTAAGGTTTCCTTATTGACTTGTGTAAACACAAAATGTATCATTTAGTTGGGTGCAATTGTTTTTTTTGTGCAGATAAATAAGGCAGGGTTTAAATGACCAACAAGAAATACCCATTTATATATAAAAGTAGATTTATTCCTTCTAACAACATCCATACAAGTAATTATAACATGGATATTAAAAATAACGTGAGTAAACACCAATTTAAAAATTTGATAAAATATACAATATAAAAGATAAATTACTAGTACGGTTGATCTAAATAGTAAACTACCTAGCGAAAGTAAATGCATTGGCACTTGAGCCTTTTGTTGCAAAGATCATAATCAGTCATTAAAGAAACAATTTGTGCACTTTAGGCTCGCAGAGAGCAAAGTTAAATAAATAAAATCAGACTTTGATTTTAATAAAGATTCGATAACTAGAGATTAATTATTTGTTTAGACAACAAAATATATGACCAAAAACATCGCATATTAAAAATTAACTATTCTCAATTTTATTTTCTTTCAAAGTGATAGTGTTTAGACTTATAAGGAAATAGCTAGGAAGACAACTTATGAATTTCTGAATCTAAGATTCCCCTCTCACATCCTTTGTTATTACATTTGTTCTCATAATACCATTAGTGAAATCAAATCTATCAGAAGAATGTTCCCTAAAAATTATTTACCCTGATACAAATCACAAGCATTATATTCTGGTTTTTCCTCCCCCACTCCCCACTTTAATATCAAACAGCTTCCTTACGAAATAAACCTGAATAGCAGTGGTAACTACAATAATCATAATTTGAATCAGCGACCATCTTACCACATACGTATTGTTATCTTGCAACAAGTTGTAGTCCCAAGATTCCCTTGCTCTAGAGTGGTACTGGTATTGCAACATGTCATTGATGTTCTTTTCTACAGTTACTATCGTGTGAGTAAAGTTCTCCATGTTCATGTTGAGTTCCTCTACTTCTTGAGTGAACTTGTCCCACATGTCGTAGCGTACTACCGTCATGTAGATGTTGACTAGCTTGCCCGCGAATCTAGAGAACTGGTTATCGATGCACACTGAATAGTATCCGCCTGTGGATGTTTGGTCTTGGTATTCGCTGCTTGGCTTCCATTGATAGGGGTGAACAATTTGGCCTGAGGGGTGGCGTACTGCAAAACCTGCCATCCCATCTCCTCCTCTTACAACCTTAAAGGTTTGAAGTTGATTTCCAGGTCAATATTAAAATGCAATAAATAAACTGTGAGTGAGCTATTCACGAAATTATTTTATTTGAAAGGTGCATACATGTACATTGAGAACCATATTTGTCTGACGCCTGAGTTTAATGCGTACGAGAGAGGTGTGTATAGACATATACATATTAGAAAGAGATAGCAGCCACCTGGATAGCGAAGCTCATCTCCGCCTAGCAACGCTGACGCAGAATCGGCCGCGTTGCCAATACCAGTTCCTTGAATTAAGGTGCTTGTTGAAAATATGCGATAGTTTATTCTCTACGCCCAAATAATGGTTTTATTTTGAGCGTACCCATTTTGGAATTGTGAATTGTGTCGAGTCTGTATAGTGCATGAACTTCTGCGTGCGAACTTCGCTTGGCAATTTGGTTATGACCTTCGCCCTTCAGCCGGCTTCTATCTCTTCCTAACATGTGTTGATACACACTTCTCGCTCTTCTGTCTCATACACATTGAACTCAGGATGTCAGACAAATCTGGTTTTCACTGTATATCCTAATAACTATCATATACAGAGAAATCCGATCATCACTGACGTTGCTAGGCAACGTGCTGCTTCTACCTCTTTCTAACATATGTATTGCATGCTTCTGGCGCTTCTCATACTCATTAAGCCTCTTATACAGGTGACAAGAACTGATCACAAAAACTGCGTTATATGATTTTTTCTTCTGGGGAATTTAACTTACAGCAAAATGTTAATTGAAAAATAACATGCAAAGTACATATAAAGATGGGCCTCTTTACAAGATACTAGGTGCTGTAAGTTTTTCATTATCTGCAGAATCAGAAATTGCTTACCTGAAAACTGACATAAAATGTGGCTCCTGGGTTCACATACTGAAAGTAGCAGTCCTCCTTCCCTGGCTCAATGTAAACCTTGTAGTCCATTGCAACAGCTGGGAGATTCTCATACCATGGAACTGTGGTCATTGGAATTTGTTGCTGCATATGTTGTGGAGGTAACTCTTGTTGATAATGCATCTGGGGCATTTGGGGTGGACCCTGTTGATGCTGTACTGGTACCTGTTGATGCTGTACTGGTACCTGTTGGTGCTGTACTGGTACCTGTTGGTGCTGTACTGGTACCTGTTGGTGCTGTACAGGAACCTGTTGGTGCTGTACAGGAACCTGTTGGTGCTGTATAGGTACCTGTTGGTGCTGTATAGGTACCTGTTGATGCTGTACAGGAACCTGTTGATGCTGAACTTCCTGATGTTGTAGAGGTACTTGGTGCTGTGGGGGCATTTGTTGATGCTGAACTGGTACTTGTTGAGAGGGTAACTGCTGTTGATGTTGAATTGGCTGATGATCAGGCGGCTGCTGAGCATAAATGGGCTTCACAACGTCCGATAATAATATGTGCGCTGATAGCGCAAATAGTAACGTGGCATACCGCTCCATTTTTCACACTCTATTGCACATTATTTGGAGTACTATCACTTTTTAGAAAAAATAGTGCACCTGAGATTTCCAAGTTTTACTTTGGGTGCCTTGTTAATATTTTAATTGCACTATTTCGTACTTTGTCTTTTTAAAATGTTGGATTTCAAATTCCATATGTTATCCACAACAAAAAAGTTAACCTCCCTAAAGTTTTTATCTGTCACTGTCAGAAAAACCACAGACTAAAAATGAAGTAATAGAATGCAAATACCATAAATGCCGAGGGAGGTTACTTTAAGAAAAGCAATTAGAAAAGAGTCGGCCTATCACGTAGAACACCTACTCGTAAAACCACGCCCCATTTCCTACTCTTTGAATTCTAAAAATGGGCTAGTGGGGCCTTAGATGTCCTTGAAATCTCACCTTCTATATTGTTACCCTTTCCGTGTTTTCTTGATTAGATTACTGTCATTCTGTGCTCTCAACAGTCAGTGCGAGGGTGAAACGAACTGGCAACACAAAGGTCATTCTCTCCAGGCACAAAACGCATAAATCTCCAGGCAAAATCCAGGACACTTTCTTACCAACAGAGTTTGATTTTTGACAAACGACAGTTTGACTTTCCCTGGGAACTTCCAGTTTGTTTTCAATCTGTGTTTTGATTCGGGTAAGCTACACATTAAATTTTTAATTTTTGATTTAATTCTCAATCGAGAGTAATTATTAATAATTTCAGCACACCCTTTTCTAAAGGTAATTGTGAAATCGATTTTTGTGATACTTTGGTCGATTTCAGTGACTTTTTGGATAAATATGACCAAAGTAATGATACAGTGCTTGATTTAGACCCTGAGATTAAGTGACTCTGACATGGAAATAATGGACAGTTCTGTTGAATGGAATCCGTCAAATGATTATGTGGCTGGGTACATTTTGAACAGACTCAAAATTTATAGTAATTATGAATCCTGTGCAAGGTTATTTTCTTTGGTTGTAACTGAAAAAACATCTATTTGTGATGTTTAAAGAACATGATGAGGAAAAGCGATTGAAGTATGCAAGTGAAGATTTAATTAACCTGATTGGTCTTCTGGATGAAAAGCTGTATGCATTTTTAGAGCAGCATGGTACAGAAGACCACCTGGAAGTTAAATTTAAACAGAAGTATTCCTGCATCCTTAAAAATTACAGCTTTTGTCAGCAGCATGATGTAGCAAAAGGTATAATTGAAAAAACTGCTCGGTTGGGAATTTACAAATATGTAAAGAGAAATTATTTAAAAAGGAGTGATGAGACTATCAATAGTCATATATCAACAAAGAAATTCAAGACAGCTAAAGTCAGTCCCTAAACAATATTTTTTTGTTTCATAGTTGCAGCATCCTTGGGAGGGAGCAGTTGGATGAAGAATAATTATTTATTTTGTTACTCCCTGTAATGTTAAAGTCATCAGGAGCTTTTGGTTTTAAGTATGAGGAATGTCTTGTTTATTTTTAACTTTGATTCCGTCTTTGAAGAAAATATTCCTCATTTTAGCACTATAAAAAATAATGTGTTTTGTCAGATTATATTTTTATTTTAGTTATTTGTTTAACTACAGAGATTTATTTGTTGTTGTTTTAGTATGAATATTTACGTTTTAGTGATAAATATACCTCATGATGGATTAACAAAAGGTAGTGCTTGCTAAACACTTCCTTTAATTACTGAGGGTCCCTTTTTATTGTTTTTTATGCTACTAATGTATGATTTGTATTTTTTTTGAAACATCACTTATTCACTTAATATAGAGAAAGCTCCGGATGTCTAAAAATACCTTTATACAGGGTTACAGGAAAAGTCGTGCTAGATCCGTTAAGGGCGTGTAGTACCCATCATTTCTGACTTATTTCATTATGAAACACCCTACCCTAAACTTAACCCTTTTCGAGATATTCAACTTTTAATGTTTTTATTGAAAATTGCCGATTTTTAGGCTACTAAATGTATTTATTTTTATTTTGTGTGTGTTATTATTACTATTATTGCATTTTAACATGTGTAATAAGATGCTTTAGGACGTCAATCATTAAAATAGTCCATAAGTTAATTGAATAGGCTGTAGTAGATAAGTGAATGTTAAGAAATTGAAAAAAATATCAGAAAGTTTATTTTTCTCTAAGGGATATCTAAAAAAAATATTATGGCAATTGTTCGGCAGATGTGTTTTAAAATATCTATGTTTTATCAGCTATCTAACGAGGTATAACAATCTAGGATTTTATTTAAATGCATTGAAAAAACTTAGTTTCATAGGCGACAGTGGAGAAGAAAATTGATACTTAGCCCTAAAAAGTAAAATAAAACAATAGGTAAGCATGAAATATCATTTATTAAATCAGGTTTTCACACAACTTTTTCTTACTCTACAGTTCATGTTCAACATGGCTGCCTCTGTTTCTAATACATTGTCGCATCCTTCTACGGAGACCAGTCTTTACAACTGCAGTGGTCAACGTTGTCCTTAGTTGATTTGCTGCATCGACAATCCTTTCTCTTAATTCTTCCACAGACGAAACTGGATTTGGCTCGCTGTAGACAAGACTTTTCATGCACCCCCACACATGAAAATCCATGGGGGTTAGGTCCGGACTTCTTGCTGGCCATGGCAACGGCCCACCTCGTCCTATCCATTTGTTTGGATAATTTGTGTCCAGCCAGTCTCTGACACTTCTCCTGAAATGGGCAGGGCAGCCATCATGTTGGAACCACATGTCCCTTCTCAAGTTGAGTGGCAGATCATCCAGCAAATCTCTGAAGTCTCCTCTCAAGAAGTTTTCGTAATTTTCCCCATTTAGATTGTCCGGGAGAAAGTAAGGTCCAATCAAATGGTTGGAGATAATGCCCATCCACACATTCACGCTGAATCTTCGTTGGGACCTCGCCACTCTTTTCTTATTGGGATTCCTTAGTACTTTTGGGGCCCAGTAATGGGCGTTGTGATAGTTAGTTATGCCATCGTTATCAAATTTGGATTCATCTGTCCATAAGATATTTCTTAGAAAATCTGGGTCTTCTACGTCAGCATTTAGCATAAATCTGCTGAAGTCCAACCTTCTCGCGGGGTCTCCTTCTTCAATAGTGTGTACCGGCGTGTAATGGTACGGGTATAGGCCAGCAGTATGCACTGTAAACCACACTCTCCATTGCGAAAGTCCCAGATCACGGGCAACACGATTAGTGGAAATGGTCGGATCCGCTCGAAAGCGTTGCACTATCTCATTGTCCTGCAGTTCTTCGTTGTCATAAATTCGTGGTCTTCCCAGGTCTGTATTTCGTCTCAAAACAGAGCCAGTTTCTCGAAGTCTTAGATAAACTCTGTTAAAAACGGCCACATCCGGCACTCGACGACCGGGGAAGCGAGTTCTGTATTCGTTGCGAGCTTGCGCAGATACACAATCGCAGTATCCGTAACAAATAAGCATATCAGCATATTCCTCAGGTGTGTAGGACGTCATCTTCAACACTTCCGTATCACAAGTACAAATCAGAGTCCAGTGAACAAGCACAGTATTCACAAATCAGAAGAAATAGTCCAGAATCGTAGCCAAGTCGAGGAAAAGAGCAAAACGATATCACATCTACTATGTACGAAGCACAAAAGCAGACTGACAACCAAAACAACATCCCGTGTTGGATTTCCAGCCCTAACCGGTTATTATAATATGTTTTCTTTCATTCACACCCACATTAAATCGTCATGTCTCGCTCGCACGGTGCGTCTAAACTTGAAGGAGAATAGGCGTGGGAACTGCTACTGGAGCGTCCCAACTACTTTTTTTCTACGAAATGTAATACAAATCCTAGATTGTTATACCTCGTTAGATAGCTGATAAAACATAGATATTTTAAAACACATCTGCCGAACAATTGCCATAATATTTTTTTAGATATCCCTTCGAGAAAAATAAACTTTCTGATATTTTTTTCAATTTCTTAACATTCACTTATCTACTACGGCCTATTCAATTAACTTATGGACTATTTTAATGATTGACGTCCTAAAGCATCTTATTACACATGTTAAAATGCAATAATAGTAATAATAACACACACAAAATAAAAATAAATACATTTAGTAGCCTAAAAATCGGCAATTTTCAATAAAAACATTAAAAGTTGAATATCTCGAAAAGGGTTAAGTTTAGGGTAGGGTGTTTCATAATGAAATAAGTCAGAAATGATGGGTACTACACGCCCTTAACGGATCTAGCACGACTTTTCCTGTAACCCTGTATATTAGCAATGTACTGTGATGATAAATTATTACTTATTATTATTCATATATTTAACTATTTAATAAATATTTTATTAATTACGCATTTATTTTTTATTGTCCCAAAATTAGTTGCCAGCAAAATTGCTGAATCAGGTATTTCCTTTATTGAGGATATTTTAAGCGTCTATGCTCATAAAATATTTCTTCAATATGGGAAATATCACTTTCAGCAGATTTAAATTGTAAATAAACTAAATCTTCGGCTCATTCCTAATCTCCCAGCGCATTTTTTGAATTCCTTCAATAGTTCCTCCAGATCTCCAGGCAAGTAGGCGGCGCAACCATCTGACAAAACGTCAACGGTGTTGCCGTTGTTTAACGTGCAGCTCCAACTTCTTCAGTTTTATGTGTTGTGTGGTGTATAATATGTTTTGTGCTCAAACATTTTTAACGGTTTTTTCTCACCCTGTTTTTATTCGTTGTTTAAAAACTATTTAAAAGTGTATCCTGAATGATAGTTAATCTTTGAGTAATAATTGTGTAACGTACCAACAAGGTTGCTTGTATGCAACGAAGCAGTTATGGGAATAACAAATAGCAAAGTAGGAAAACAACTGGACAAAGAAGTGCCTCATGAAGCAAGCATCCCTTCAACTCCAATAATAACGCCGTTAGCAATAAGAAAAAATGACTGGGATCCTCGATCTCCCAGTGCTAACATCGCTAGAACACCATTGGAGGTAGTATTATATTATGTTCTTAACTATTACTTGTATTTCATAACACCAAATTTTGTAGATTTTAAGTGCCGCGGCAGATAAGTTGGAGGAACTCTATGAAGACAATGCAACTCCACTAAAAAGTACCGCATATATTCTTGCTGACGACCCTCGATCTCCAACAACTGAGTTCAAACGAACTCCAATCATTGTCAATGATAAGGAAGACTTGTTGAAGAAGGTTCATACTAAAAATTTGGAAAAACGGCTGCAGGGCGATGTTGATTCGGTAAACCCAACGATAAACCATATTACTAAACGAAATATTGTACCACCAAAATTATTGGAGAGTAGTCCTATAAGGCCAAAACCAGACTCTTGTAAGAGGAAATCGTTTGTTGGTTTATTGGAGACTAACATTGATTACACAGAAACTGACATAGATGTTGCATTCCAAGAGAAATGTAAAGTTGCGTTAGATACTCCTAAGAAAATTGCTATAGTTGAAACTAAGGATATTGATCCTAGATCTCCGACAACCGATTTCTTACGTACTCCAATTCAGAATGTCAGAAAAATAGGAGAAATACAGTTGGATGCAGGAGATAACCAAAGTGATGTGGAGATGATGAGGAATATACTTGATGAAATTGTAGATAAAGTAGTGAACGAATGTGTAATAGCACCTGATGAAGTCGAACCAGACGTAGAACAACAGCTTAGTACAAATGTAGATGTACTTGTAGGTGACAGTCCAAAGATACTTGCCAAAGAGGCTATAGAGCCAAAACCAGCTGAAACTGAGTTTGAACAGTCTATACCAATGCTAGATGATCCTAATGAAACATTGATATTAGGAGGACCACTGAATGTAACTCCTGAGATAGATCAAAGGGAACTAAAATCAGCTCCAGTAACTCCTCCAGCAGCTAAAAATATCATGGAAGAAACATCATCAGTTAAACAAACCAAGTCTGCTCCAATATCACCTTGTGTTAATATACAAGAAGATCTAATGGAGTTTGACAAGAAACTGACAGATCTAATATATGAAGATGCTGATGTAAGTGTTTATAGAAGAGTAGCAACTTTAAAAGAATACAATATCAGGTCTCCTTTGCAAAATTTGAATGGTGACGCAGGAAAGAAAAAGCTTGTTCCAAAGCTGAAAGTCAGTGACAGGCCAAGAAAGTCCTATTCTAATGATGGTGCTGTCAGCAAAATCCCTGTTTTCAAGGAGAAAGGAAAGAAACATGTGCAGTGTGAAAACACTCCGCCAAGGAACATAGAAAAGAAAAAGGTCAAACCGAAGCCACAAGCTTGCCTGTGGGATAAAGATACCACCCTTTACCTTTAATTCTAGTTTAATGTTATGATTTACTAGTTCAATGGTTACTTCATATTTATTAGTGTTTCCTGGAAAATGTTTCAGATGTATAACAAAATAATGGAATCATACCATCATTTCTTGACTCGATGAATTCATGGCAGGATGTATCAAAACTATAAATGCAGTAGTTAAGTGTATTTCTAAGTCAGTTTCAAATATTGAGTCCTTCAATCCCAAGTTTAAATGGGATATTTTCTGCCAGTAGTTGTGTAATTTTAGGAAGTATGTATTTGTGTGATTATAGGAAATTCCAGTGTTCTTCTAATTTAATTTGTTTTTGTTCATCGTACTATTTGTTCTTAGTTTACCAGTTGTAAATATACTTGTGTGATAATAAAGCTTATTTTTGTATGAGGTACTTTAAAAAAAAAATATTTTTGCTCCTCTCCGATCATTTAGCATATTTGTATCGGTATTTTGTTTTGAACAAAGAAAGTTTGGGAGCATTGGTCAAGAGAATACAATATTTAATAGAAGTGAAGTAAGTTATTGAATATAGTAGAAAAATAATATGAAGTTGTGGTGACAGTAGCTTATAATTTCCAATTAAAATATTTTTGATCATAATTCAATGACAATAATTGTGCACAAAATCAAGCTCAGTCATCATCTGAGTCTTCTTTCTTAGCTTCAGTTTCAGGATTTTCCTGTTTATAATGTCTATATTCTGTCTACAAAATAATGGAATCATACCATTATTTCTTGATTCGATGAATTCATGGCAGGATGTATCAAAACTATAAATGCAGTAGTTAAGAGTATTTCTAAGCCAGTTTCAAACACTGAGTCCTTCAATCCCAAGTTTAAATGGGATATTTTCTACCAGTAGTTGTGTAATTTTAGGAAGTATGTATTTGTGTGATTATAGGAAATTCCAGTGTTCTAATTTAATTTGTTTTTGTTCATCGTACCATTTGTTCTTAGTCTACCAGTTGTAAATATCCTTGTGTGATAATAAAGCTTATTTTTGTATGAGGTACTTTTAAAAAAATTGATTTTTGTTCCTCTCCAATCATTTAGCATATTTGTACAGGTATTTTGTTTTGAACAAAGTTTGGAAGCATTGGAAAGAATACAATATTTAATACAAGTGAAGTAAGTTATTGAATATAGTAGAAAAATAATATGAACTTGTGGTGACAGTAGTTTATAATTTCCAATTAAAATATTTTTGATCATAATTCAATGACAATAATTGTGCACAAAATCAAGCTCAGTCATCATCTGAGTCTTCTTTCTTAGCTTCAGCTTCAGGATTATCCTGTTTATAATGTCTATATTCTGGTTTCAATTCCCACATATTCTTGTGAGGGTTCTTCAAGTTGTAGTTACACACTTCCTTCAAGATTTCTTTTAAATATGTTATAGGCTGCTTTGTTATCTTCACAAGATCCTTAATGTTGTAATACTGATGCTTTTCAAATGCTGCAAACAACATTTCAAGAACTGCATCTTTGTCATCACGAGCCTTTTTGCCTTCTGCCTTTTTGCGCTCAATATATTCAATCTGAAATATTATTCATTTTTAATATGGTATAAGATACATTTTTGAACAATTATCTATGTTAATATTTAGATATGATTAGAATCATAATGTTTTGGAGTCATACCGAGCTTGAACAATAAAAGGTAAAATTTGTTTACTTACATTGTTTTTGTGGTCTGAGACAGGTTTGAATGTTTGAACTACTCTATCTAATTGTTTGATTTGCCTTGCTGGTAGAGATGCTTTCCTAATTGATTCTAGCTTCAATTTCATATAACAATTATCTGCATAAGGTCTACATTCCAATTTTTGTACTATTTTACCCTCCATAAATAGTTTCTCTGTTTCTGGTATGACTGCATCATTATTTGTAGCTGGAAAAAATAAAATGACTAGAAACATGCACCACTATATTTTAAGACTGTCTTGGTATAGCTAAAATGAGCAATTACCTGTACTTACGTATCACATGTGAGAAAACGCCAAGAGTCTGCTGTGTTACTGTTGAGACATCCAATCTGTGGTCCTTAGGTATACTTTCTTGCCCAGGTTCGTTCAGGTTCAATATTGCTGATGATAATGTGAGGGATACTTGTGCTTTCTGTCCAGGAGATCTATGAAAAATGTTAACTGTTGCAAGATTCTGAATGCCTGAGTTTAGAGTACTTACTTTGTGATTTTGAGTTTTCCAACTTCCATATCACTTGGAGATTTCTCCCATCGTTCTGCCACATATTTAGGAACTTTCACTAGCCAGACACCGCGATTAGCATTGGATAAGTCCAAATCACGGTCTATGTGCGAGTCCTTCGACATTATTTTTGTGAAAATTACGAGCTTCCTATGCAAAAATATTTGTCTCCACCAGTTTTAAGTTTTCGCCTTTTTGTCTGAGCTTATGTTGATGACATCAGTTGACATAGAGCTTAAATTTGATTTTGCTATAGTAGTGCCTGTCAAGTATTATACAGAGTTGACTAATGAATAAGGGAATACATAGTCATGTGTTAGCATTTCTCTTATTAAGACACGCCTAGTAATCACTTGGGGAAAAAGGCGCGGATAGAAGAAACACGCCTAATAGTCAATGGAAAAAGTCGTGTGACTTACAAGACCGCGCCTTTTTTTCAGTCAAACAGGAAAGCATAGAGTTGGACTGTAATATATGAGTATTTATGCTTGGTACTATTCTTACCATTTGGTTTGTCTATGATTAATCAATTCCAAAAATATATTATAGAGTCTATGCAAGGAGGATTTTTGAATTTTCTGTGTCCTTCATGGTAATCCAGTTCTATTTTTGAGCCAAGAAGAATAAGACAGGTGAGGTATTTGCTTGTGAATCCACACCCCTTTTCCTACTTATCCATTACCGGAAGTGACAACTGACCGGAAATCAAACAAATGTCTAAATTAAATAAATGAAAATCTAAGAAGGCCGTTTTGTTTTCTTCTATATCAAATTGTTTTTCAGGTCAGCATTGACTAACAGTTCAGGAACAACCTTTTGTTCATGAAATTAATACGGCGGTACACTGATCGGTTTCCAAATTCAGCTACTCCTTTTTTTTTAAATGCGACATAAACGGCCAATACTACTCGACGACATACCTACACCTATCTTCACAGTATTTTTACATATAATATGAGTGTTGTCTAAAAGTTTACGGGTGTCCGGTACGGTATGTTTCAATCGGACATTTTTTTGTTGTGCCTGTGTCTTCAGCGGCATATCATCTAGCTGCAGGTGCCAGTAGAGGTTGTTGCGGGTAAGTCTAATTTTGTAGCTTTACAGAATGCATGCTGACTGATTTATCACACACCTGAATGAATCATAATATTTCATATGCCCCAACACGATTATTTCAATTTACTCCTTCCCATATGTTTTGTTAGCTGCGGTGTTTCTTAATTGAACGTCAATATGAATAAAAAAATCTTATAGGTGTATGAAAAATTTGTGTGTGAATCTGGACCCAGTAAAAGTGAGAGAGTGACAGAGAGAGCAATATTCAGTGAAAGCTATATATACCTCTGACGCCGTAATGTGAACGAGAGAGAAGCGCGAGAAGCGTGCAATACGTGTGTTAGAAAGAGATAGAAGCACATCGTTTCCTCGGAACCCGCTTACGAGGTCACGGATGCTATCGGCGCACTCTTTCTAACATACTTATTGAACGCTTCTTTCTCGTGCACATTCAACGTCAGCCAAATTTTATGTTCAAAAGAGAAAAGCGGGTAATTGGAAAATATGTACCACACACATTTTGTATACGTTCTAATGTATAACAACAAACACGAAAACGAGAATTTTGTAATGTCTATACTGCAAAACTCCACTACAGTAATGACCAAAGCTGCAAGTACACAAATTTTATCTATTCTATATCACATCTTACACAAAGTATTTATGCAAGTCATTAAAAGACAGTGGGTTAAATAAACATTGTTAGGCACTTAGGGAATAGTTATTCACCTAACAAGTGCGAAACATACACTTTACGCAAGAATTAGGTATAGTTTATTAACAAAATCAAAGCTGTTACGTCACAACGTCAAGTAATGGCAGCGACGCACATGGTTGCCACATTAATTAAAACTACTAGATCCTAGGACGTATCTGATAACTACAGTGTTCTACATGTCTTTGAAGATTTCATACATACGTATTTGACAATGTTCGCTAATATAGATCACGCAGGTTAGAACAGGTTACAACTAGTACGCGCCAGCCACCGCTATCGTGCTCGACGCGTAAGCATTGTTTTACTTAGTTTGAATTTGACTACTTGTGATAGCGGTACGGCCTAGCGTGCGTTCATTGTTTACTATTTATTCATTGTGTATTAAGTATAGTATCTAGTAATGTCATCACAAACTCAGAAGCGAAAGCACAAAACATTGACAATTAAAGAAAAATGTGATATTTTAGACCGCTTAAATCGCAATGTAACATTCAGTAGTTTAGCAAGTGAATACGGCGTAGGCGGATCTACAATTTATGCCATTAAAAGAAACCACGAGAAGATCAAGAAGAGACAGACACTCAAGAAAGCTGAACATCCAGAAGTGGAAGAAGCTTTGTACATGTGGTTTCTTCAGGAAAGAAATAGGCATGTACCAATTTCAGGACCCATGTTGGCCATGAAAGCTAAGTTTGTTTATAAGGAAATAACAAAAAACGATGATTTTGTGGCCAGCAAAGAATGGCTACAACGTTTTAAAAGTCGTCATGGCATACGTTTGATGACTATTACAGGAGAGAAACTTTCTAACGATGCCACCTGCATAGAGCCCTTTAAATTAAGATTTTTGCAAAAGGTGAACGATTTAAATCTTGACCCGTCACAGGAGTACAATGCGAATCAGGGCTTTTTTGGCGTGTGATGCCTAACAAAACTTTCGTTTCTTGTAACGAAAAATCCGTACCTGGACGAAAAGTAAGTAAAGAGCGTGTAACCATACTACCATGTGCTAACGCTGCGGGCACACACGTGCTTAAGATGATGGTTATTGGGAAATCTAATAAACCACGGGCATTCACAAACATTGATTTACCTGTACACTATTACGGACAAAAAAGTGCATGGATGACAAAAGACCTTTTCAAAAAGTGTTGTGATGAATGCTTCGTACCTGAAGTTAGAAAATGGTTAAAAGATCAGAATTTTCCTCAAAAAGCGTTGTTGCTTCTTGATAACGCTCCCGGTCATCCGTCTGAAGAAGAACTAACAACTGAGGATAAATGCATCGCTGCGATGTTTCTTCTGCCAAATTGCACTGCACTGATTCAACCAATGGACCAGAATATCATTCAGTTTGTCAAGCAAGACTATAAGAAAAACCTACTTCTGAGAGCCGTATCAAAAGACCAACCAATAGAAAAAACTTTAAAAGAATTTAATATGAACGACTTGGTTTTTGCTCTTTGTCAGTCGTGGATTGCGTTACCGTAATCAACTATTAAATCGTCTTGGAAAAAGTTATGGCCAGATATAGTCACCACTCCTAGCAACGTTCCACAAATCAGTGTAACTTCGGAAGTTATAGAACAAGTCGCTACTGAAACACAGATAAGTCCGGAAGATTTGGAAATCTGGTGCCGTGGAATGGATAAAGAGGAAAATGTTTTTCATGAAATGTCTGACGAAGAGGTTATAAAAGAGGTTTCTAATTATACAACAAACAATCAGGAAAATAACGACGACGTGGTTGCAACTGCTCCACAAGTCACAGCACAAGACGCAATTAACGCCTTTGAGCTAGGTTTACAATGGGCTGAAGAGAATGGTACATCCTACAACGAACTTTTACTTTTGAGAAGACTGAGAGACAAAGCTCTGATCTCGCGTTATAACAACCTTAAACAAAAATTGATGAATATTTCCAAGCTTCATAATTTGATAAATTCATTAATGATTTTGATTAATAATTCTTGATTATTTTGGTACATATATGTATGTGCATTTATGCTTAATTTTATAATAAAACGTAAGCTCTCTCTTGTTATTTAATTTACTAAATTCGACATACATAAACTATGTATGATTTGTACTTCAAAGTACATGCATATACATAACATATATAATCTTACCATTGGATATGTAATTTGACGGATTACAAGGTACTCTTTTGTAAAAATGCCGGACTATAGAGGGTCTTAGGCAGTGCTCTATAATCCGACAAAGTCGATAGTCCGACACTGCCCTGCATAATGTTTGTCGGATTACCGGAGGTCTACTGTATTATGATTTGGCCTATCCCCCGTTTCCGTCTTGACGTGAACTTCTGGGACACCCTGTATATTTTCAGCAACATACTGATTTAGTTTTAAATTCTCTTAGTTGGTGCTCGCCAGTCTAAAAGGCAAACATTGAAAATATTTACTCAATAATGATATTGTTAGAATTTTGTGCAGAAGACATAATAAGTGAAACTTAAATAATTCCTTTACATTCAACTGAATCTATATGCACAAGTTATCTATTTGGGGGTATTTTTGTCAGGCTCTGGTGATGTGCTTCTTCAAATAAAGTATATAAACATCATACGAGACACAAGCTAGATTTTCTTAACTACTTTTTAACAAATTCTAAGGTTTACGATACGTCAAATAAAGCAGAATTAAAGAGCAATACAAATCAGTACGAAACATCATCTATCATTCCAGAAGCTTTGCAAAAACGTGATCATCAGTCATCTGTCCCAAAAAAGTGTGTCATGCCAGGTAAAAATTCGTACTCAGCTAACAAAATGTTCCTTAATACATAACAAACCTCTCTTTAAAATGGATTTCCAAAGGTTTTTTGCTGAAGAAAGCGGGTGCTGGATCCTCGAAAATATGACTTGCATGAAAATTCACAATGGCATAACCAATCGAAAGTGTGCATTGTCTGGATGAAAATACAAAATGTTTGTATCTGTGGTGAGCGAGGGATATGTGGGTGTTCTGATTTTTGAGTTTTATGATTGATTAAACCACGCATTAACACTGAAAAACTTTGAGGCTCTACGGCCTGGCCGCAAATTCTTTTTCTTAGCGATTCGGGTATGTAGATTCCGAAATTTGTATCTATTTGACGGGACCCAAGTACAACAAATTACCTACAAGCAAGCACCAAGTTTCATTGGCTATCGCAATAAAAATATGGCATTAAGTCAAGGCTGTCATCAGTTCATTCTGCAAAAACATACCGGTAGTGCACCTGGAAACGTCGCCTTTTCCCGATACTTAACTCGCTCATACCTAGCAGCGCGATCTTAGCATAAGAAACCCTATGCTGTGGCGCGTAATACTGTATCAGAACAACAGAACCCTTACCAGACCTGACAACACACGCCGCCGAGAGCAGCAGGCGCGGCCGCTTGATATGTTCTACGAAGAAATCTATGATATGTGAAGTATATAGGCGCGTAGAATTACCAAGGCCGGGAGCATATAAATATACTTACACCAAAAAATAAAGAGAAACCCTCCACATCTCCGTACGCCCAGTACGAATATCTCTCCATAAAAAAAAATATGCCGCATGGGTATCATGTAAAAAACCTATAAAACGTCAAAAAATACCTATAAGATGTCATCTTGCAAACTAGGTAGTTTTTACGGCGCAAACAGTCATTCTACGTTTGCACACTAGGATCGTTGTGAACGTCCATCTAAGGAGGAATCACTCAATTAAACTACACGCATTATTGGTTGCATATGTTTTGTCAGGCCAAATGGTCCTTGCCTGTAGTTTTTATCTCTGACAAAAAAGTTGGTTGATAGCAAGATCGCATCTGGATGATT